TGCAAAAGTTGAGTGTATACATTATGATAAAGCATGTGGTGCAAATAAAAATAACTTTGAGCCAATCTGACCTGGTAAGGTTGTTTAGAGTAGTTCAATGAAGCAAAAAGTTACAGTATCGCCTCATCTTGCAAACTCGACATTATTGAATAGTTCCATCAGGATCTTGTTCACGGTCACTCGTGTCACTTGGTGTCTGTGTGCATTTCTGAGTGACCTCTTCCTCTCCTTCAGGTATCAAGTGTCCTGACACGGAGCGGATGCCAGATGCCCCACTGAGGACCAGGCTGAGAAGAGAAATACAGTCAGCCGTTCTGCCCTCCCTGAACCCACCTCAATGGGCAGATGCTAAGCCAGTGCAGCCAGAGGAGGGCAGGGAGGAGTGTCGGCAACTTCACGGACACCTGTCAGCGCCAGCAGAAAGGCCTCCGGATTCCCCCGTCAAGCTACCAAGGTGCACAGTTATGTTTACAATAAGAGCAGGGTGTTTGACTGAAGGCATGCTATGTTAGAAAAATTACACCATTTATCAGAGCAAGAGACTGTAAAAACAGAAAGAATTTTCAACTTTCTGACACTTCCATTGGAAAAAGCTCAATATTGTGATGTTTTATCAAAATTACGTAGGTCTACATGTCACATTTACGAAATTTACCAAAAACAAATTGTTTGCACAAACCTCATTCTGTAAAAAGTAAGAAAGTCTGTCCTCCTTGGTGCAACTAAAAAGTAATTAATGACTCATCTACAATTATCAGGAATGTGACAAAAATTCAGTGTGTTTTTGGCTGATTAGGCTGAACTGCAGGCTGTGTATACATGGAGCAAATAGAAGACAGGTATTAAAACAAATAAAAAATGTAAATAGTAAAATATCTGTAGTACATGCAGTCATTTTTTAAAAACTGTGTCATGCTACACAGAAGAGATTTCTCTCTACTTCTAGTCATGGCTATATTGTTTCCAGAGAGCTGCAGGACTTTATGTTACAGTAAAAATGAACCCACAGTGAGTAAAAATGTGACAGGAGCAAAAAAACACCCAGAATCTAATCATGGAAAGTAACATGCAGGCTGTAAAACCAAATGTCTTCTGTGGCTCTGAAGGAGCTTTGCCAAGTCCCTTACCCTGATTACCTCATTATGACCTCATCGGGATTATCTTAGCTCCGACATAGCGACAACAAAAACACAGCCTGCAACACAAACTGGGTGTGTGGAGTTTAAGAGACGTGGGAGTAGAAATATAGGATTCACTTGAAATTGAAATGGGAGTGAGTTTTATTTTAATGTTATTTCCTACAAGTATCCACAGTTGTATTAATGCTGACTGACCCAAATAAGAAACAACTTCTATCACTGTAGTTTTATTGTATTTATTTAGAAACAAGAGAAGGGACCTAATAGCTGAGTGGTTAGGGTGGATACCACATAGGCTCTAATTCCCTGAGCACCAAGTCCCTGTTTAGGATCCTAGCTGGCTGGAACATTTACTGAAACCTGCTATGTCCTCTAAATTCATAAAACAGCAAAGCTGAATCAGTGAACTACTCACTTGATGCACAAAGTTCATGTTACATCATGCTCTGTGGAGATTCTGTGTCTTTCAATATACTGCAGTGAACATGTGAATAACTGTCCTACCTGCCTGCCAGTCTATCCATCCTTAAACAGAAACCAGTGATTGATTTTGTCATAGTGACAGAAACACACTGTTCATTGATCAGCTTCAAGTGCTTCCGCCCTGCTACACTTGCACCATATGTACAGCATGCTGCATTATGTCAGGCAACACTAAAGGAGCAGTTCACCATTTTAACCTGTTTGTTGCCAGGAGCCCTATAAAGCAAGCAAAGAAGGGGCCCCATGTCACCGTGGTAGGACCCCTTCAGATTCACGGCAACATCAATCCAGAGTAAGACCCATTTGTATCACTCACAAGCACAAATGTTACGAGTCATTCAAGTGCGACTGTGTAGAAAACGACATTTACTGCAGCTTTTATGAGCCTTATTTACAACAACCACTTCTCCGTCACATAGGTCGGTGATTCTTCCGAACACTCCCGACTCGCAGACGTCCACCTCCGCTTGCCGTCCAGCTGTGGTGCCGTTCACCCCCTCCGTCCCTCTCACAGTGTGCCCGGCTCTGCTGAGAGCAGCCCTGCAGGGGGAGGGGCAGCAGCGGAGGAGGTGCTGCTGCAGCGCTGCACTGATGCCAGTGGTGACAGACCTGGAGTATGATGCCTTCATTATGGGCCAGCCTCCGCACAGTCAACAGATCCTGGTGGTGTGTGTGACTCCGCCACGCCAACCCGGCAACACGGCGCACAGCCAGGATGCACTGGAGGATCTTTACAGGAGCACTAAGAAGCACAGAACCATGCCGTGTGCTCAGGTGTGAATGCTGCCTTTGTCTGGATGAAATGACAAAAACACTTTACAGTACAATAAGCAACCATTTTCTACCATTTTGTTGACTTGCTGGATGTTACATATGCATAATCATACATATGCATACCTGATACGCAGTGTATGCAGCACCCCTGTGTTGTATCACTGTAATTAAAACAACAGCCAGTTCAATCACCAATTAAATATTCATGTATTTTATTGACACTGAAGCACATGTTTCAAGGACAAAGCAGTGCTGCACAGGCTGGAAAATGAAGGGTTAGCAGAACTGGCATCCAGCAGTCAGCAGGCTATTATTCATAGGACTGAAAACTTAGAAACAGGTTGTTTTGGTTTTTATGCACACAGTGCCAGATGGATTCATTTCGCCTAGTGAGGTATGAGATGTCAACAGGGAAGCCCAGCTGTGGATTTGAGAGCAACCTGCTGCAGCAGCGACACAATGCTGCTCCTGGGATGGTCCTGGTCAGTAAAGCCCACTGCAGACTTGGCCAAAGACTGCACACTCTGCACAATGCACGTCTTCACGGCACCCACTGGGTGGCAGCAGCACTGCTTGTCTGAAGAAGAGGAGGTGGTAGCAGATGAGGGATGGGGGGAGGAGAACTGTAGTAAGCAGGCATTTATTATAAAAGTATTGTAGGCTGACAAGTAATGAGGGATGACGCCTCCTAATTACAAAAGGGAACTCTAATTTTTAGCCCAAAGTCATGACAGCTGCTCCAATGATTTTTGCTGTGAGATCAAAATCCATCCTCGGGTCCATAAATCAAACAGAAATGACTGGAATCATGGTGACATGGAGTAGAATTAGTACTTAAAGACTTAAGGCCAAAAGGTTTTCATTCAGGAAGAATAGTCATTATGATCAACAGGATGCTGTGCACATCCTCTTCTCTGTTATGAAATCTAAACTTAAGAATAACCTCGTGACTACTATGACTTATGTTGTGAAAAAATAGACTCAGCATTATGGTGTAAACCACTTCTCTGGAGTCCAAATAAAAACACGTGGACTAAACATTTTTTGTGTGGGACATGGAAAATAACTGCACTGTGTAGCTGCAGTGATGTTTTCTTGCATTGCCACACATGTAATTTGCATTTTGTTTGTTCATGTGATAGATGTACAACAGAGGGAAGCTGCTGTTTGTGGGCAACATATTCAGCAGTCACAGCTGCTCAGCCAGGGACCTTCAAAAGCAAATCTCCAGAACCAGGGGAGACTACAGATTAGGTCTGAGTCTCCCTTCAGACTACAAGTTCAGGTAATACTGCACCATCCGCTCTGATCTGAGACACTGAAACATTACCGTAATTTGCTTTCATTATGTACTAAAGGTCGTGAACTGAAAAGAAAATACATCATCGTGGAATTTGTGACCACAAATAAACAAAAAAAGCAAAAACTTATTGTTTTACTCAAATGAAAATTAGACATTAACGAGTTGATTTAAAATTTTTGCAATTCTGTTCACATTTTTCTGTACTTTACATGCAGTGACACAATCAACACTCCAGCAGCCACAGATGCGCACAACTCACTAGAAGCAACACTAGCAGAACTGAATGACTTCATATTGACTGCCTCAGAGGAAAAGGAAACGGCCAATGCAAAGCACGTCATGTAATCAATATCTGAAGTTAAATTCCTGCTAATTCATTGGTCTGGCTAGAAAAATGGAACTAAAGAGCATTTTTTTTCCTCTAATTTAGATGTTCTGATAAATCTCTACCACATTTGATTTTCACTGTTGTTGTTATTTTTATAAACAGAATTGGTAATGTAAGTGACATTGATTCTCTTCCTTAACAGGAGAAACAATCGCGTTTCTGAGGTGTCGCTCCAACGACAGAGAGATTTCTGTATCCGGCCCAAAAACCCTCCTGCATTGCCTCCAGCTCCTGTTATCTCACACTGATCATGCAGCTGTAAAACTATTACATCAGTATAAGAATTCACAGCCTCCCAGGTGCATCAGATTAATGTGTAATCAGACTGTAGACGTCTGACCTGCTTGTACTGGAATCACTGAACAGTGGAATATTAAAACTGAAATGTAAAATTTCTTCCAAGCAAGGAGCATAATGACAAATCTCAACGGTGTCAGGGTTAAAGATCTGTCATCAGAGGTAGTTGGTGACGACTGCTGCTTCAGTGTTCTCTGAAAAATGCACTTTTTAAAAATCTTGTGTAAACATCAATTTGTAAGTTATATTTTTCATTTGCATAGGAGGATTGAATAAAGAAAGCAGACCATTCAATGCTTTGTTTTCTTTTTAATCTAATGTCTCTGTGAATCTTGACACGCTGCCATTCATCTCGATGTCAACCTGCTGATAACCAGTCATTTCCCATAAGATGACTACTTAATCTGCTTACATCATGATGCAAAAACCTGCTGAGAAATGATGGATTTTTAAAAAAAAACTTTACTTCCTCTATCTCAGCCATGACTTACAAAATAGCTACTGGATTCCAATCATAATCTTTGCCCTCTGAGTCATACTTGGTGTTGATAATATTAGAAATGATGACGGGTGTGGGAAGATGTGCGTGTATTTGTGTCAGTCTGGAAAATTGCTGTGCAGTCATCATGAAGTTTGACTGAAGACGTGGAGTAGATGTACGAGGTGTCACACATAATTTAGGATTTTTTTTTTGAAGTTTTACTACCAACCTTTTGTATTTTGATCGACTCTGGCAGTTCGAGGACCTCTAGTGGATTGAATATGGAAGCAAATAGGAAGCTGTGAGGCTCAGATCGCAGCAGCAGCAGCAGCAGCCGGTGCGGCTCCAGTCAGAACAACTTGTTTGCTGCGAGATCGCGAGTGTTGCTCGAAGAGGAGCAAAGAAAATGTCGCTTTTTTGACAGATAAGTCACTCCGAGGCGACGGCTTGCTGTGCGTGAAGAAACATGAAGGGTTTGTGTCTGCTGTGTTGATTTATAAGAATCGACAAAACCAGAGGAGAAGAGAGAGAAGCGATGATGAACTCAGGTAAGTGGCTCACTTCTGCTTACACGGTGACTTCCCTGGTTAATGATTTGTTAGTGAACTTACCCGATACAATATGGATGTGCTCTACATTCATGGATTGGTTTATTTTTTAAACTTTATTTATTATAATACAGATGGCAGAGCATAAACACTAAAGATATTTAATAAAGAATGTGATACAGATAGTGTATATAATACTACATATATCTATTATGTTTGTCCACACACACATGGGTGATATAAAAAAAACAACCCTGAACCCTTGACCCCTAAACTGAGGGCTGTTATGCTGTTTTCATGTATGATTTGGCTCTACTAGGCTATTCACTGCAAATCAATACAGAGTTGTTGTGAGTGATTACCTTTATTCTATGATCAAACATTTCAACCCTGTTTGGATTGGAGTCGTACAAATGGAGATGTGAATCATATGCTGTGGCCGCCATCGTCACCAGATCTCAACCAACATAAACACCTATGGGGGGATGTTTAATCAGTGTGTAAAACAGCGCTTTTCCCCATCATCATCATCAAAACACCAAAAGAGGGAACATCATTTCCAAAAAGTGGTGTTGAGAATCAAAACGAAGAAGCGCTGAAGCCGTCCTGGCGGCAGGTGGAGGCCCGAGGCCTCACTAACAAACTTTATATTTTCCTTCAATTTGTCACCTGTACACAGAAATCTATATTTAACTTAAGTTCCACTCATATCTACAGCATATCATCATTTGGATTGTTTATCGCAGAGATTTATTTACAGTCAGCTGTTTAAACTGTGGTTTGCTGAACAGGGAAATATGTGGCAAAACAACATCCCTTCCCGTCAACAGGTTTGCATGTTGCCACTCAGTCCGCCACAGATTTGAAAACACTAGTTCATCTAGATGTACCAGTTTGCATGACTCCCGTTCTTCATCTCCCATCTGCTCCTCCTCCTCCTCCTGCCTGTTGACATGAGCCATTAGCCAGATTACAGCCCTGCTGCACTGAGCAGCAAACAAAAGACATGTGATATCTGAACCCCCCCCCAGAGAGGTGGTTTGGTGCTTTACAGCAGTTTTACATTAAGCCCTCACTAGGTTAGGATCAGTGCTACAAAGCAGATTTAAAGAGCGAACTTCCATTAAGCCAACATCTGCCAAACTGCTGGAAATGCATCAATTATAGCGTGTGAATATTTAGAACACGCCTCCGTCAGATTAGAGCCGAAATCGTTTCGCTTTTTGTGATCTGATGTTGTTTTCTCACGTGATTGAGACTCTGAATCAGAGAAAATAACTTCACACAAAATCTCAAGTGTGTATCTTTTGTTTCTTTCCTCTCCTCAGGCATGCATAAGCCTCCTGTGGCCCCTAAACCAAAGCTGGCCCTCCACCAGAGGCCTGAGCTGTCTCCCTCAATCCCCAGAAAAGACAGCCTCTCGCACCCATCTCCTGGCACACCGAGGAAGGTTAAACCATTACTAGCTCCCAAACCTTGCCTCTCTAAACTCACCGCTGCTGTGGAATCCAAGCCTCTAGTTTCAAGGAGCCTGCACCACCCAGAAGCCCCTCGGACCGTCGGTGTTCTTAACTCTCAAAATGGAATACAGCAAGAGAACAAAAAGCCTGACTGGGATTATATTATTCCTATTTGCCTTTGTAGCCAAGAAAACTGTATGTGCATCAGGAACACAAGCTTGGACAAAGCTGAGAAACACTTAAAAACATTGCGAAAGAGCAAAACTGAAGAGGACAAAAAGACTGTGCCAACAACGCGATGCACCCTGGATGGCAGCAGGGAGAAAACAGACGATGTTAAGTGCCATGTGACGAACACTTCCTCCACCAATGCTCACCTTACGAACCACAAACCTCTCAAAGAGACACTTCCTGTGGAACGAAACTTCAACAGAGACATTGATACCTCGAGTCCTGAGGTGACTGTTCGGCCGTCTCTTCCTCACAGAACATGGAGTGATGAAGCAAATGCTAACACCATACCTCAGAGTGCACCTGGGCGAGGACCAGAGGAAGATGCTCTTGGCTCAGAGCAAACCAGTGCGCTCCAACCCAAACCAGTCCCAGCAGCCCCTAGGAAGCCCGTCCCTGTCCCTGTACCACGGAAACCCAGGACAGTGGTTCAGGCTCATCAGGAAAAGGTGGAGGAGGGGAGGGAAGAGTCTGTGAGTCAAGAATGGAGGGAAATGAACGTCAAAGAGGTGAAGGTGTCATCAGAGGGGAAGGGCAGCTCATCCCCGTCTGTCAATGTGGCAGACAGTGAAAACAAGCAGCCGATTTTTCTGTCTGCGAGAAGAGCTTGTGCCCCGCCAGCCCCTCCGCCCAGGAAAAAGCCTTTTCTGTCTGCACCCGAGAGGGCGCCAACCTCTGCTCCTCTGACGCTTCCAAAGGATGTGAAGGCGGAAGATCTGGGCTGGGACAGCAGCAATATTGAGATGGAGGTATCGGTTGACGAGGAGGATGAAGAGATGCAGAAGGAAGGAGCGGATGATCAGGAGGCAGTCGACGGCGACTTCGCACGTCGTCCTCCTTCTCGCAGTTTGCTCAGTCAGCCGGAGTTGAGCCGGAGTCCTGGCATCACTGTGGCAGGTGAGGAGAAGGGGATGGTTAAAGTAGTGCCGAAGAAGCCCCAGAGACACAGCAGCCCAATGGCACTGATTCAGAAGAAGGAACCCCTGGAGGAGAGAGAAGTGGAGAAAGAAGGAGATGATGAGAAACACCAGACCCATGTTTTGCAAGAGAGGGTAAAGATGGAGCTGCCTACGAAGGAAAAATCAAGCAGGAACCTCTTAACAACAGGAATCATCAAACCATCTCGCTCCAGCCTGAGCAAACAGAAAGCCAAGTCCTTCTCTGCGGCTGACGTCATTCGCTCTGATGGACAGAGGAGGACCTCTTTCCGGAAACTGCTAGACTTGACGCTTTCAGTGAAGATGTTACCCAAGCTCAAAGTAAAAGGAGGCCAGAGCCCTGACTCCACTGCAAATGATAATCAACAAAGCGTTGACAAGGACCAAGATGAATGTCAGAACCTTCCTGTGCCTCTCCAGCCCGGACGTAAATTCTCCTGCCCGCTCATTGGAATCGAGCAAAGTGTAGACGGAGATGAATTTTCTCCAGGACTCGAACAAGATCCCTACTATGAGAACATTGCTCACTATGAGGAGATATCAGACTACATAAATATGCCAGCGGGGGAGGCAGGGTTGTCTCCTCAGGCCTCCTTCTCGCAGCTGTACAATGATGAAGGTATCTACGAGGAGCAGGAGCCATACATGTCCCTGGTGAAAGACACCCATCAACAGCAGCATGAGACAGCAGCAGAGTTTGACAGGTATAGCTCTCATTTGTCTCAGTATCTCTTATCAACACTTTCTACCTTACTGGATCACCCTGAGTGAAGGAAAACACCTCATGCTTCTTAGAACACATCATCTGTAAAATATGTAGTTAATGCCAAAGCGTGACTTTGTATTGTTTGTAAAAAGGGAAGATTGTAAAAATAGCACATCACATTGTGTGTTTTGTTGCAGGTTCCCGTCAGGGGAGTTTGGCAAGTGTTTTGGCTCGCGTGCTTCCACAGCAATTCAGGTGTTAATGAATTGTGGATTGACCCAATTACTTAGACTTACACAAAACAGGTTTAAAATATAAACATCAGAGAGCAGGTTATTGTTAACGGCAACACTAAAGCTAGACAACGTTTTACCTAGAAAGGAGCGTAGTTAGTTCACAGTGTTGAGTGTAGAGCTTTCTTTGTTTCATCTGAGGTTTCGTCGGCACTGAAGCTACACCTGTTTCAATTCTTAAAGGCTCAGTTCATTCAAAGGTCTCCTTTCTCAGGTGTCTGTCACTGAAATTTCTGCTTACATTTTATAAAAATGGAGGTAGAACTTCTTTTTCTGATGCTCAGAGCGATGGAAATTATCTGGAGTAAGCAGAAACGATGCCCCTTTGAATTTGCATCAGAATTTGTTTTCAACAGATTTTTATTGAACTTACTTCTCATCCCCTAAGTAGTGTCTAGAAGATGTGAATTTTCCTTATGTACATTTTTGATGCTCCAAACTTAGCATCTAAAAACCAGATATCTACACAGCTAGTGTAAATGTGTGTTGCTTTTTCTTTTGTATGTTTGACCAATTGACCCTTTAAAAGTTTGGCCACAACACTCAGTTAGGTGTTTAACTAGTTGTAGTTGCAGTGTGTGTAGTCTTTCTGTAGTCATCCTTTCATGCAAAGAATTCATATGTTGGGTTATGAATGACCAGTGAGCAGAAGTCAGATGGAAAAAATCGGATTACAGTTTGTGTAACTGTACACTCTGCCTCGCACAGCTTAGTGTGCCACCCCTCTTTAGTTCAAACTGTGCAACAATCACATGTTAAAAACACGTTAAGCAGCTCACAGAGACCAGTCACAGTTAAGTGCAACGGCTATTGTAAACACGCCATAGTGCGAGTTACAGACTCTGGCTTAATGCATTCGTTCTTCAGCCTCGGCCTGTTTTCTTTTTCTGCAGTTTTGTTCAGGGAGGCGCCGCTGTTTGAGTTGTAGCACTCCCTCAAGGGAATTGTGGCATTTTAGACATGCAGTACATCTTTGGCGCAGCTTCCTTTTTAGCTATTCGCATGTAGTCATTTAGAAGCTGCAAGGTTAAATTAACAAAGTTGGTGATGAGTGGTGGTTTGTGATTGGTTCGGAGCTCTGGCTGCTGCTTCTGTTGGGCTTGGCAGCGTTTAGGCAAACTGCTGCTCTGTGACCTGAAGCAGGCAGCTGGACTAGAGGTAGTGGGGTATGTGAAGGCACTGATGATTATCATTAAATGTTTTTTCCGCCTTTGTCAAGTGGCCGCTTTCTTGTAAATTTTTTTTTCTTTATGACTCATTTGATCAGAGCAGGAAATATGTGGTACAGAAACTGAGCTGTACCTTCTTCCTCCGATTATATGCTGAGACTAGAGTTTATATTTTAAGCCCTTTCTCTTCCCTCATCTTCTATAAATAATATCCCTCACTGGCTTGTAATTACCAGTCATCTGTTATGTGCATGTTTAAAGGCTCTCCGTTTTTAAATGAGTCCCTTTGGCCGCTTATGTGCGTGAAAACCACCTGCACAATGCGTTCATGCTCTGTCATCTTAACATGCTGACCTCTTGACAGAAGCTCAGTCGACGAGGAGGTGGCTCTTGTGACTGAGGGCTCCTGGGATGATGACTTTGGGGCAGACAGCTCGGATGAGGACGAGGATGATAGCAGCTCCATCTCAAGTAAAGGCGACCCTGAGCAGCCAGAGGAGAGTCCGGTGAGGAGCAGTTAGATTTATGACTTCAGTCCCTCGAAGTGTTCGCAAATATTTCCTGGTATCATTTACAGGGTTTGTTCTTTGCAAGACTTCAGAGACAACATATTTCTTTGTCCTGTCGGAAGGAACTTTTCTTCCTTTTTTACTGGCATTGTGTATGAAATTTTACCCGAGTATATTATTCTGCGCTGCACGTATCTGCTGTGATTAGTTCTGTCCACTATACAGTGATTTACCAGTGCATGGTGGTTCAAATTCTGTGTTTTTACACCTTTAATAGACGCAGCGTGAAAAGAAGAAAAGCAAGATACACCACATCGCCACAGAAATCATGACGTCCGAGAGCGTGTAAGTGTCTTTATTTTTTTCCCTTTAAGGTGGATGGTCACTCAGATGATTAGAAAACATGTTTTATTAGTTATATAATTTTGATTAGATTTTCTCAGGTTTTGACATTCGCTCCAAGATTTCTGATATTTAAAATGAGACAAGTGTAAAAACTGACATTCTTAAGATGAAACACCAGCATCTCATATCAGAACCAACATTAACATTACTCTGCAGAATCCACATGCGTCACTATCACCAGGTTTTGTGCAATTTCAATGTTTTTTAAATAAATATGTGACTGTGTAATTTTTTTTAAATGTATCAGCACAACAGACAAAGTTGCTGGGTAGATACAGATACCACAAAACGTTACCACAAGAGGTAAATGAGAATATATGTTTCTTGTTTGGGAAATTACTCTTTATAGCTCATTGTAACGTCATTTTCTTTCTCCATCCTTGTTTCTTCTAGGTTTGTTGACGTCCTAAAGATGCTTCATGTTGTAAGTAACCTCTAATGTCAGGATTCTTTGCTTAACACAAAAACAAGCTCTGTGTTTGCTGTCATAAGAGCACAGGCTGGAGTTGTTCTGTGTATGTTTGATCCAGTGCTCGTCTACTGTCTGAGCCCACATTCTCCATATGTATTTCATTATGCTGGCCACTGGGGCACACCCCATGCAGGATGACTCCCCTCAGTCTTGCTCGCACAGCTCACATTCCTCATGGTTTTCCAAACACTTTCAGCAGCAGCGCGATCTGATGGTAACACTACACAACAGAAATGTAATCTGTGGATCGAAGCCACCAGAAGGATACGATTGTCTGCCTCCTTTGCTGTGCTTTACCCAAAATGTTTGTAACACAACAAGACAACACACGCCAAAGTGTAACAGTAGCAGTCAAACCAATGTTTAACCTTTGCTCTCTCATAATCTCACAGTTAAAAGCTGCTTTTAAGGTGCTCTGCATATGATGTGAGGTATCAACTTTTCTCTGTCAGACAAAAAAAAAAGCCAGTTAATGAAAAAAGGGAATGGCGAGTGGCTCAGTGATGCTGCGCTGTAGAACTGCTGTGCTTTGAGCTAAATGGTCATTGTCAGCATGCTGACATGCTCATAATGAAAATGGGATTGTCATCAATTTTCTGGGTCATAGACCAAAGTAGTGGACAAAATTAAATCTTGACCTGATGATGGCGATCGATAAAAAATTAAGAAACCCTGAAGAAAGTTACTTCAATTCATCCCGTGAATGTGTGTACTACATTTCACTCAACAACCACAGTCATGGATCATCAGAGTGATGCTTCCACTGGGAGCTATAAGTATTTGTATAAAACTTAATGGCAGTCTGGCTGATATTTATTTGAACGTCATTCAGTTTGGACCATCAGGTCTTCAAAACAACTGAATCTCCCAAGTAATTTAACCACAATTTACACAACCATAATGGAGCGTTGTGTTAGCATGAGTAAAGGACAAGTCAAAATTAGAAAACTAGACATATTACACTCTAGTTTCAGCTGGAGCTGGGTGCTGCAATCTGATACAACAGTCCTGCAGCAAATCTTCCCTTTGCAAAGGTTATAATTAGTTTTTTGTTGACAGAGTTTCAGAGAATTTTTGATTCAACTTTATGTTGTGGATTCTGGTGCTGTTGAGCTGTCTTATGTCATGTAGCAAGGTGTTTATGTTGTTTTTCTCACATTCCTTTGTATAAATCAGGTGGATAAAATAAATAGATATTTTAAACTTTCACACAATACACTGCATTGTCTTAGCTGGAAACTGTACATCAATCTCAAACAAACACAAGTTACTTTATGTAAGCAAGTGACAGGGATTAGACATATTTAATACACAGAAGTACATCACACAGCCCATATGACGACCTTCGTGCCTGCTCAAAGTTAAAGCTTAAGTTAAACTTAAAATCATCTTTTTTTTTTCTTTACAATAAAAGATGAATATGCTCACTTGAGCAGATGTTTGGAGAGAAAAAGGTCATGAAACAAGAGCGTAGTAGGACTGACTCATGCTCGATGACTCCTCGCTGCAGAGCTCAGACAGGAACTGATTGGGTCTCTGTAGACTGAGTCCAGTAATGAAGAACAGTCATACGGAGTTCAAAACAATGTTGAAGTGACTTTGTATTATTTCCGTCTCTGCCAGCTTCTCAGTCAGCTTTCCACTAACACGTGGATGATAACACATGTTGTTAGGAGTAGGATCAGTTGAGTGTATTTTTAAAAGTGTTTGTGTTTAGTTCTGTTGTCAGATGAGAACAGACTGTGCTACTTGTCTCCAAAATGTCAACCACCGACACTGGGATGTTTACTTTGATGAAAACGCTTTGCTTTGTATAAGCTGTTATATGAATTACCACAGCTTCCTCTTAGCCTTGTTGTAGATTGTGCCCACTCCCCAAAAATATTTAGATACTTGCGGCGGTCAAGTCTGCATTTTTATCTCATGTAACACCTTTATTTTTGTCTAATTTCGTACCACATCCTTTTTCACATGATCCACCTCCTTCACTGTCAGCTGTTGTTGTAGGAAGACATCACACATGTTAACCGCAAGAGCTCTCTGCTGGGCACTTCGTCTGTAGGCAGTTTTATTTGACACGTGTGCCCATAAACCACCAAAAGACTCCACATCATCAGAAAGGGAAGCAGAAACAGCACCCTCGGGCTCTGCTGCTCTCCTTTTTTTTTAGTCTTGAGTCATTGAATTCAGGAAATGTAAGAATCTTTCATGTGAGTCAGGTGTGTGTAGGTCATGGGACAGCAGCATTCCTCTTTCTTTATCTTAAGATCTGTTGAGCTTATCTAATTTGTAGCGTTACATCCACGTTGCATGATTGGCGGAGAAGACCTAAACCTTCATCCGATGATGTCAAACTGCACTGTGTGCTCTAACTACAAATAATTAGTTCAGCAAATACTATATTTGGCATATTCTGTTTTTCCATGTGTCCCTAAGTTCCTTAATTTGACCATCTGACTCTGTATTTGTCTCTGTGACCTACAGGACTTCCGTGATTCGGTGTCTAAAGCGTCTCAGCAGAGTGGGAAACCTGTGATCGAGGAGCGTCTTCTCAACCAGATCCTGTACTACCTCCCACAGCTCTATGAACTCAACCAAAACCTGCTCAAAGAGCTGAGGCAGAGAGTGGACAAATGGTACAACAAAGTCATTTTTTTCAAAAAGTATTCATAGATTTGTATGTGTTTGGTCCCTTTGACTGACTCAAAGAGTAATTGCACTTAAATACATGCCTTTTTTGAGCCGTGATCTCTGTCCCATCTAACACTTTTGGGCAAAACTGGGCCAAACATCAAGGATTGTTAACCATTATTAGTGTCAGCCTCATGAATGCCCTTGTGGCTGAATTGGAACTTTTCTAAGCAGTCAAGCTTTGAAATCTTCCCAGGAGAGTGGAGGTTTTTAAAATAGCATATTACTGACCATGCTTTTGAAATTTAATTGCCGACAACCACATACGGACATGACGTTTAGAGTCCAAATACTCTTGTCCATGTTCTGTCTCATGAAAACGACATTTTGGAAATGATCTTTCAAAGGCAGTGTTAACCACATATCTGCTTTATTTTGTATACAGGGATGAAAACGCCCAGGTCGCAGACATTTTCCTGAAGAAAGGGCCCTATCTAAAGATGTACTCCACATACATCCGTGAGTACGACAAGAATGTGGCTCTACTGGAAGAGCAGACCAAGAAGAACGCAGCATTTGGCGCGGTGGTGAAGAATTTTGAGGTAATGCTGCTCGCTAGACCTGTTTTGTCTGGGGAGGGGAGGTGTGTCCACGATGTTTCACTGTTTATGCATGTGTATGTGAAATAGTTCCTGTAAACTGTGTCATTAGTAAAGGTGTGACTTTATTTTTTTTATTAAGGCGAGTCCACGCTGTGCCAATTTGGCTCTCAAGCATTACCTCCTGAAGCCTGTTCAGAGGATTCCTCAGTACCAGCTACTCCTCACAGGTACATCTGCAAAAGAATAAAACAATGCAATTTCTTGGCACATTATTTATTCATCAAAGTCAAGTTTTATTAAAAGCCAAAATGGTTTTATTGTTGTAGTAATGGGCTGCCATGTTGGCCCAACCTGTCTCATTATAGGCGTCATGCTGCCCTCTGGTGTCCAGAACAACAAAACTACTTTGGAATTTTTGCTTCCCTTTCTCGATCCTCATATAATAAGATTTTTGAAGTGCAGCCCAAATCAGATTTGGTGACATAACATGAGCTTTAACATGAGTGAGCTTAGCGTTTCATGAGACTAATGGATCAGGGTCGATCCCCCAAAGCCAGAATGTGAAGAATGTTCCTCACGTCACTCTTGTATAATTACATTATGTAAGTACCTGGAGACCTTTTCAACCAGGATTTTACTTCTGAATCATTCCAGGAATTTACTACTCAAGACTGAACACTTGAAAGCCGGTGTGCAATTAGTTTGCACTTTTTTGTTTGCCCTGTTGATCCCCGAATCTAAAATGTTTGTAATTCTGTTTTAGATTATCTAAAAAACCTGTCTGAGGACTCAGATGACTACAAGGACACTCAAGGTAAACCTGTGTCTTTTTACGTGTGTGTACTGTAAATTTTCATGCCGATGTCAGCGAAACTGAAACACTGAATGTCATGTATGTGACCAGCATGCATTTTTATCCACTCAGCTGCTCTTGCTATCGTGAAAGAGGTGGCCAATCACGCCAATGACATCATGAAACAAGGGGTAAGAGCAAAATAAAAACATGGAACCAGGCAAATGTTCTCAACATGTTAATGAAATGCTCCACACTTGTTGCTGATCTTCACATATTTTCTCTCAGGATATCTTCCAGAAGTTGATTCAGGTGCAGTGTCGTCTAAACGGCCACCATGAGATTGTCCAACCTGGCCGGGTAAGAAAACAAAGATTAGATTTCAGGTTTTTTACAGCAGCATTTGACTTGCAACAGTAGGACATGTGGGACTAACAACAATAATGCCGCCTTTGTCCTATCGTCAGTCAGCCATGACACTTGTCCAGCATAAACAATATCATGAAACTGAAACCAAACTGAAACTGAATTCAGTCATCACTTGTTTTAATATTTATATCTACAAACATCCAAAGTCCTTTAACACTGATGCAAAGATGCTCTTATTTTTCCCCATGTGAAGGTTTCTTGTGATATTTTTGTGCTCTAGGTCTTCCTCAAAGAGGGCATCCTGATGAAGCTGTCCAGAAAGGTCATGCAGCCCAGGATGTTCTTCCTGGTAAAGTACAAATTTATAACTTCCAGCTCTCCTGTTTCATTATTTAATAAAACAATCCCAACAAAACTACAATGACTGTAAACACATCTGTTGCACTGCTCCAAGGAACTGTTCAATGAAAGATTCAAGCCTTTGATTTTACTACCTGAAACTTTGCTGTTGAGTCCTATCAAAGCGTCATGGAACTAAATTAAACTAGAAAACATCTTGCAATAAATTAATTTTTGCCAATATTTTATTAAACTTTCTCTGAGTTCTTTTGTAGTGTGTCAGTAAAGACGAACCAGGAAGTCACAACAGAATGAAAGTAATGTTTCTGTGTCATTTGTCCTTCAGTTTAACGACGTCCTGCTCTACACCACTCCTGTTCAATCAGGACAGTTCAAGCTCAACAACATGCTGTCACTGGCTGGGATGAAGGTGAGAACTCCTCTTATTATTTCCTCAAACTTTTCATATTCACATTATTACAAGCTATGCACTGCCATAAATGCTCACAATGAAAATAATTACAGGTTAGCAAACCGAGTCAGGAGGCCTGTCAGAATGAGCTGAAGATTGAGAGTGTGGAGCGTTCTTTTATTCTCTCTGCGAGGTAATAATCAGAAACAAAAGATATCTCTTTGTAATTTAACAACATTGTTCTATAATTCATTTTGATAATAGCGTTTTTCCTTGCGATGGATAGATCTGAGAACACTGCACAGTTTTGTGGATATACTTTGTTTTCTCTTCTTGTAGTTCGGCCACAGAGCGAGATGAATGGCTCGAGGCAATTTCCACAGCAATCAGCGACTACACCAGGAAGAAAATCAGTTTTATTTCAGGAAAGCCTCCCGATCAGGTAAGATAACCTCAAAAACATGTTTTGTCTGATGTATGAGCCTAAGTTAGGGTGTGATACACAAACAAAAATATTTTATAGTGTATGTATGAGCAGTGAATGGTAACTCCTGTGCTTTTTACCTACATCCAGATAGATCTGAGCGACCATGACGATGGTGCTCCCTTGGGATCCAAAGCTCCCATATGGATCCCAGACCCGCGGACCTCCATGTGTATGATCTGCACCTGTGAGTTCACCCTGACATGGAGGAGGCATCACTGTCGCGCATGTGGAAAGGTGAGGTGACGAAAAGTGCTCAGATATGGCGGAAATAGTTACGTCATGTCTAAAAATGCAAATTAAGATGGCTTACAAATCCGTACATGGAAACAGACGTGCTCAAAAGGCATAGCTTGACATTTTGGGAAATATGCTAATTAACTTTCTGGCTGAGAGTTGGATAAGAAAATAGATGCAACTCTCCTGTTGGTATAATTTATATGTAGCTGGGCCAGTGTCAAGCAGGCAGTTACCCAAACAATAAAACTGGAAAAAGGCTAAAACATCTAGCCTTACTCAGTGTGTATTTTCCATAGTCAGGAATGACAGACAACATTTAATAACACTTAACATAATTTTTATTTATCAATAATCCTACTAATGACAATGATTAGAATAAGAAAACAGATGAAAAGTATCTTCTGTTGCTGCCTTATTTTACTATGAAGGGTGAAGTTTATTCTTCTGTTTGGTTTCATGGCAGTTGGCATTAAGAAATGTATTTATTTATTTTTTCTTACCTTTAAAGTAATTTCATCTTGGATCGCTACACTTTGATGGTAATGGCAAGAACAGACAATATCTTTACTAAAGTGAATCAGATATTAATCACTCTCACACATGAATCATACATCAATAATGGCTTAGTTTTGCACATGATTCATGATGATAAAGATGCAGAAAAATAGAAATGCATCTCAAAATAGACATTGTCACAAATCATGTTTTTAGGGAAGGTCACGTCTCATAACAATGGGGCCAAGCTTCTCGTGGCTGGCCTGTAGTTTGTACTGTGTCCTAACTCTGTTTAAAAGCATTACAGCCTCCCTCCAACATGTGTGAAACTCACAACATACAGTGCATTTTCTTTGTTTTACCTTACACAAAAACTAAACATGATTTTAGTATCTGCTGGCTTCTTGGTATATTTGCAGTAAGACTTCAGGAAATCCCTAATCTTGGCAAAATAGTTCATTTACACCAACCAGAAGGTGGTAATAGTTTCATATAGTGGTTTCAGTTCTCTCACCCCTCACAATGCTGGAATATTTCATTGGAAATAGGACAAATCACATTCAAACTGCTTTTGTAAGAGAAAAAACTTTTTTTTTTTTGCTGTATCATCCCATCAGGTGGTGTGCCAGTCGTGTTCCTCCAACAAACACTGTCTTGAATATCTAAAGAACCAGTTAGCTCGAGTGTGTGACCAGTGTTTCCTTGTTCTTCAGCAGGAGAAAAGTAAGCCTGGCTTCCATCCAACACTGTTTGCAATCTGTTCCCAGCACATGGTTGTTCTTACACTTGGCAGGCTGAAACATTACTTTATGAGTATTAAAAAAAAGAACTGCATATCTCTATTGTTCAGGTGAAAGGGCCCTATCAGCAGCGGTGTCCCCTGGAAGCAGAGCTACCTTTGCTTTTTCCAGGAAGCAGAAGAAGATACCTGCAGCCCTCAAACAGGTAGCTGATGCTTTGTCCTGATCTGAAAGCATTGTTATTTATAATGATCAGAAAACTCTTTAAAGGGCTTTTTACTTGTTTCAGGTGTCAGCAAACACTGACAACTCCTCCATGAGTGGGTATCTGCAGAGGTCGAGAAGAAATAAAAAGCAGGGGAAGAGGCTGTGGTTCGTCATTCAGGACAAAGTTCTGTACACGTACGCTGCGAGCGAGGTGAAGTCTCCAGCTTATTCTGTAAAAGCTCAGCATCATATTATAATAGGACCACTAAGAATCATTTTCATTTTCATCATCAAATCATTTTTGTGCAGGATGTTGCAGCCTTGGAGAGTCAGCCCCTGCTAGGATTTGTGTTGAAGGTTGATTCTTCACAGAAGCTGCAGTTTAAGCTGTACCACAAAAACACACTTTACTACATTTTTAAAGCTGACGACGTCCAAACTGCCCAAAGGTACAGTAGAAGGAGGATATTACTTAGTGCTACTTATTGTGACAGCAATAATACTAATGGTTTTTTTTGTTTGTTTTTTTAACAGATGGATCGAGTCCTTCAAAGAAGCCACCGTGCTTTAATATCTGTTGACAGTGTGTGAAGCAGTTTAGCATCGTTTTTCAGAAAATGTTTTTACCTCAGTGCTCTCTGAATTCTGCAAAAAAAAACACATCACGAGACACATCATTACTTGCATTGAAATGGAAACCAAAATTGAATATTTTATTTCACTGTTCTCATCAGATTTACTGTAGCTGGATTTTACATAGTTTTTAGGTCACTCCCGTGGAGGTGGGGTTTAAGGCTGTTGTTTTTGTTTTTTTAAGATGAACCTTTTCCATCAGGGTTTATGTGATATTGCCTTCAACTTAGCTATTACTATGCAATAATTTATTGCTCATTTAGACTTTGATTTTGTCGTATTTTAATTTAATTGTCTGGTATCCTTCCTGGATCCTTATAGCACAGATTTGGTGATTAAAATCCCATCATCTAGACATTGGTAATTAATACTTTCAGAGGTGAAAACAAACCCCACAGACGCTACTAGTTGTTTGGGAATGGGTTTTTTCCCCACACTTGAGAAGTTGGCTACAAAACACACAGTGTGCACCCTTCTTGCCTATTACATGATTAAGGCTTTTAGTAATTTTGAGTCTAACCTCGAGTCTTACTGGTGTATCAGGGGAATGTTCACAGTTTGTGCATAACTGCACCACAATGTGTGTTGCACTTAAGTCACTCTGATCGATGTACATAGATTATACCCGTCCACACATATTCTATGTAAATAGAGATTATTGTAAATTAAATGTAATCACAATTTCCATGAATCTCATTTTTACTGCCTAAATTTTGACAGTTTAATAAATTTCTGTTTTACTGTGCTTTTTGTCTTGGTTCTCTTTGTGTGCCCATTGGGGAAAAACAAACAAGCAAAACAACAAATTCCATAACACTTACGTCACTGTGACTAAATAGTATTTATGTAAATCACATTTCAACTTAAAATATTTTACTATATTTGCATCAATCTCAGTGTAATTGTGTGGAACTGTGAAGCCAGTAAAGACAATTTTGGACATTTTTCACCTTATAACTATTAAACAATGAAACTTGAGCCCATGTTTCAAGTCATCTGAATTTACATGACACTCATGTAGCCTACTTGTCTCTAAAAGTTACCTACTAAGGTAACTTTTTATTGTCCCTAGCTATCATGATGAGCTATAGTGACTTTACTTGGACATAAAGTGCAGCACTGGTCAGATAACGGTTCTGGACATTGTGTTTTGCTGGTTTAAGAGCCGATGTGACAACAGCTGGACGTATGGGAGAACTACTGAGATGCTTATTACATTTTCTCTGTGTTGTTTACTGAACGATCTGCCTGAGATTGGCACCGACATGTCAATACATCTGAGCCCAAGAGAAAAGAAATTCACGTTTGACCAGCTTACACACACAAGCCGGGACAGACCGCGGCAAACTAACTGCGCATGTGTGCAAGTCGTTTATTGATAAAAAGAAGGTCACGAACTCTGACCCTCCCACCAACTGCAGCAAACACTTAAAATATTAATTTATTGAAGGCTATACATTATCTGACCTACCAGCTTCTCGAAAGGTAAGGCGCATTTACTGATGCGGACACATGAGAGGTTCATGAAACAGCCCCGAGTAGCCAGTAACACAGGAAGGGAGGGAGTGTTCAGTAGGTCTACAGCAGGGAAGCTGCCATTAGCCACCAGCTAGCAAACAGCTAACTTAGCTCGCTAGCACTGCCAACCGGAGCTCAGCGCATGGAATTAAGGTCGGCAAGTGTTTCGTAATGTTGGTATGCGACTGCACAGACGACTCTGTGGCGAATGTCACGTATGGCTATTAGCAAAAATCCGTCCCGGGTAATATTGTTGACAGACTTGCTAGTTAGCCGATAATCTTAGCTGCGTCAGCTAACCGTGCTACTGCTAGCTGCTATGCTAGCGTTGCTAACAATTCTCTGTAAAGTAAGCGCCCACATCATTCAATTGATTGTGTGCGCAGCAGCAGCGTGCTGTGGTGGTAAATCTTCAGATGCCTTTCTAAATAGCCGACCGGTGTGGAAGTCCAGTGTGAGAAATATTGCGAATTTAGCGCAGTTGTCAAAACCGAAGTGCCGCCGTTGAGTGTGCGATTTGGCATCATGGGCCTTGAACCCTAGCATGCTTTAACCCTTCAATGTTGACCTTTCACCCACAGGAAAAGAAATACCTTTATCTTCCGTATCGATTTTAAATAGCTGGCTGTCAGGAGCGTGTCTGCGTGGATGCCGTTGCTTTGCGGCTCGTTTGTTGTCGCTTCACAGCGATATTAAGCCGCATTTTATAACAAGGCCATCAATAGTGCAGTTTCGAGCTAGCGCCGGCTTGATTGCTTAGCACAGGCCACAAACTAACATTAGTTAGTGTCACGCAGTATTGGAGATCGGATTGTTTGTTTTTAGCGGGTTGCTCAGTACAGATCATTTCATGCAAATTTTGACTGGTCTCTTCAAGATTGTTTATAATTTCTGGTCAGATGTTAGCCAGACATTTCTTATATCTAAAGGGAGAGTTAAACAAGAAAGCATGAGGGGCATTAGTAGTTGATTGAGTTTTTGTAACACAAATTCGCTTCATCCTAATAACAACACTGAGCTGTGATACAGGGCTTCACGTTTTCCCATCTCCTTCCACACAAATCAGTGTATAAATAATGCTGTACTAGAACTTTTAGAAAATATACTGTTGGGCTTTAAACAATCAACTCATGTGGTCAAAGATAAGGCTGGTGCTAATCTACATTTTCCTTTCTATCAACAAACAATACAAATAAGGAAACCTTCCGTCAACTTATTCAACTAAGGACAGTTATCTTTGTGGTCTGATGGTGTTTATTCCTCTTTGTCATAGACCTCCACTGTTGTCAGGAACTATTAATAAACTGAGCTGCTGCTGAGGGTGACATGTTCCTGTGCTACCTTGTGCACTGTTGTTCACTGTGCGTCAGCCCACCTAAACAGTGTGGCTTCTGTAAATACTTTATAACTGTGCCTAATGTGTGTGTGTGTCTCCTAAAAATGGAAAGTACTGAAAAGTACAAGAGGGCATTTGACTACAGTAAGAAAAGCACTAAGTCAGTGTAATCATTGAGGATATTTCCTGACCTGACTCAAGATTTGTGCCAATACATATGATAATACATATGCTCAACGCTACAGGTGTGCATGTCTCATGAAGCACTGATGTGAAAGACAGTGGAAGAAGGTGTGCGCAGTATCAGAATGGATGGACAGACTCAAAGGATTCAGCTTGTGTCAGCAGACAACAGCATGGCTTTAGGACACAGAATCCAGGTGATGTAATAGCCTGTCCACCACGAGAGATTCCTTCTGTTTTAATTGTGTGTAAATAAACATGTTTCCCCATTTGAATATGAACTTGGTAAACTCAACCCAATGTTTCTACGTATACTATCAGCACTCCCTTATGTTCTGATTTTTTTTTTTATTGGTAATAGATTGTAACTGACCAGCAGACTGGGCAGAAGATCCAGATCGTCACAGCACTGGAGCCGTCTTCCCCTGGAAAGCAGCAGTTTATCTTAGCAAATGCTGATTATTCCCCTGGTGGGAAGGTGATTCTTGCCAAGCAGGAAGGCTCGCCCAACAAGGTCATCCTCGCTACTCCAGACGGGTCTGGGGTTAACCAGCTGCTGTTTGCCTCCCCTGAACTGGCTGGGCAGCAGATTCAGGTATTGCCCGAAGATGTTGGTGACCTCTTCTAACCATTTTTGCTAAACAAGTTTCCTGAAAGGTCTTAAGACTGAAGTGTGAACATGTTTAATCAGTCTAAACTTATTCCAGTGTCTGCTTTATTACATTATTGCATTTTCTTCTTTGTTTGTTTTTGTCAGTTTGTGACTGAAGGCTCAGACCAGTCTATTGTCAAGCCTGTTGTGGAGTACTGTGTTGTCTGTGGGGATAAGGCCTCGGGTAGAACATCCATTTATTTTTTTCAACATAAATATCTTTCAGTAGCACACATAAACAAGCATTTGCTGACCAGATCATGTTTTTTTTTTTTTTTATACTCTCAGGGCGTCATTACGGAGCTGTCAGCTGTGAGGGCTGTAAGGGCTTCTTCAAACGCAGCATAAGGAAGAATCTGGTGTACACATGCAGGGGCTCTGGAGAGTGTGCCATTAACAAGCTACACAGAAACCGCTGCCAGTACTGTCGACTGCAACGCTGTATAGCTCTGGGCATGAAACAGGATTGTAAGAGACTGTGATGCTACATGGACATGTTTGTTTATGTGTTGTTAAGGACTCACATGATTAAGCTGTGACATTTGTTTTGTCTCTTAGCTGTACAGTGTGAGAGGAAGCCTGTCGAAGTGACCACCCGAGAGAAATCCGTCAACTGTGCAGCCTCCACTGAAAAGATCTACATCCGCAAGAACCTATGTAGCCCCCTGGCTGCCACACCCACTTTTGTATCTGACAAGGAAACTGCTCGGTACGTGCCATTTCACAAAACGCTAATAAACACTCTTGCAAAACGAATGCAGTTCTTGTCAGTGTATTAGATCTGAGAATTTAGCACAGTAAGTAGCATTTTTGTTATATTTCTAATAACTCTGTGATGTTGTACAGGACTGCATCACATATTAAAATGTTTCTTAGGTTTTATTTTCACCATTAGCATACATGGTAGCAAAAAGGAAATTGCAAACACATTACTGTGATAAATTCCATCAGCACAGCATCATGAATTGTGACTTCAGAAATTACCATAGAATTGAATCAGTGCCTCTCTGACATATTGTCATAATCTGACTATTAAAGGCTAAAGAAACATGGATTTGTTTTTGCAGGACATTGTATTGGATTGAAATAAATAAGGCTGTGCATGTGTAACTAATAAACTGGAAGCAATTAGAAGAACTGCTTGTATTATTTTACATTAAACAAAAAGCCTAATTCTTACGTACCTCTAGAGATAATTGTTTTACTGCTTGGGTTTATCTTGTGTAATGCAATGTGAAATATCAATTCTCTAACTTTAGGTCAACAAGTTTGCTTGAGTCAAGTATGCTGCTCAACATTCAACAGCCCTTCTCCAAGCTGGAAAACACCATCTTGATTCCAACATCCCCTGACAAGGTAATTCAAATGACGGTATATTTATGTCCCATGTGCCATTCTAATCCTACATAAAAACATCTAGAGTACATTTTTTTAAGTTTTAAGTACATCACATTGATAACTTATGATTTAAAAAAAAAAACCCAAACAATTATTGCATGTTTATTGGCGATGAATGTGTCATGATCTGTATGATGCGGCTCAAGAATCGTATATTTGACATGTGTTTATTGTCCCCTCCCCAGCAGGATGACCCATCACAAGGTGACCTTGGTACACTAGCAAATGTAGTGACATCCCTCGCTCACCTCAACAAGACCAGGGAGGCAAGTGACAGTGGCAATGACCTGATGGGAGCTGAAACGCTTAGCAATGGTGACAGCTCAATGACAGACATCCAAGGAGATGAACAAACTGCAAGTGATATCACGAGGTGAGAGAGCTGTCATAAAGAATCAAGAGGCTTTGATACTGATCAGTTGTCATTTGTGAATAAGTTGATCTGTATACTGGACGTCTATATAAGCTCAGAAGGAGACCCAGGAGCTGTTTCTTCTGTTTGTCGTGAGGCTTTAATAGAATTTACTGGAGGGCCATGTGGTTTCTGACTCTGATCTTAAGGGCTTAATTAGATTGGCCCCTAGCCAGTCAAAAATGTACCATCTCAGACCTTGTCAGGGGTATACTGCAGTGCTTTGAGTTATATCCTTTATTTCCTGTTTTGTTGTAGGAGCTATAATATAAATTGTATATATAAATCAAAATGTGTCTGTGGATTTTACAACGTGAGCACTTTGTGTCCATATGCTGTGTATCATTAGAGCTTTCGACACCCTGGCCAAAGTCCTGCACCCTACTGATGGTTCAGCAGGAGAGTCTTTGGAAGCCACAATGCAGCTGATGTCAGGGGACCAGTCGGGTCCTGTGGTGGAGCTGGAGGGGGCTATACTTTCTGACAGCCATATCCCTTTCAAGGTATTAACCCAACCACTGACCTTAGCCCTCCTCTTTGACCTAAACCTCTGCTCGTGTTATGTAAAGTTTCACATTCTTCATGATTAACACTTAGGTTGTTTTTTCACAATTTCACAATCTTTGTTTCTACAGCTTATGATGCCTTTGCCTGTGCCAGAGTACCTCAATGTCAACTACATCTGTGAGTCAGCTTCCCGGCTACTTTTTCTCTCTATGCACTGGGCACGCTCCATACCTGCCTTTCAAACCCTTGGGTGAGTCTGTTGTCACAAGATTATTCATTGTTTCATAAATACACCTTCCTCAATAAATAGTGACAGTGGGGTAGGAATAAGAGAATGACAAAAGCTTCTCTTCTGTGCCAGTGTGGTTCTTGGTGATAAATTTAATCATATTTTATTTTACAGTGGTCAAGACAATGACATTAATTTGATGAAAGCCTGCTGGAATGAACTTTTTGCCCTGGGTCTGGCACAGTGTTCCAACGTTATGAATGTTGGTACCATCTTAAGTGCCATTATCAGCCATCTGCAGACCAGCTTACAGGAAGGTAGGAGAGCTCTGCTGTTGGCTGCCTGCAAGGTCTAATATTTCAGTGCAATTTTAGGAGGGAAAAGCAATGTAGCCACGCAGATGTGACGTATATTCTAATAAGATGAGATGTTACGTCAATTCTCTTGGTTTTTGTGGCAGAGTTTGTCTTAAATTAGCTAAAAAACCGATCTCTCAATTACCTCTTTGTTTTCTCCAATCTTGTCTTTCTTGTCCCAACAGACAAACTTTCCCCAGAGAGAGTAAAACTAGTAATGGAGCACATCTGGAGGATGCAGGAGTTCTGTAACAGCATGTCTATTCTGGCCCCAGACTCTTACGAATACGCCTACCTCAAAGCCATTGTTCTCTTTAGTCCTGGTATGTAGGCAAGTGGACCGTTCACACAGAAAAATATCTTTTTCAAGTCTTTTTTTGTGTTAAAGCAGAATCTTTAGCATGCTGGAACTCTGCAACAAAAGATGTACTCATGTCTGACTGTGAGTCTGCATTTTTTTTGTACCAGATCACCCAGGCATAGATAATACCCCGCAGATAGAGAGGTTCCAGGAGAAAGCCTACATGGAGCTGCAGGACTACGTAACCAGGACCTACCCAGAAGACTCTTATCGGTTTGTAGGCTTTACCTTTGTACTACAAAATGCCAACACTGCTGGAAAGACAGTGGGTGTACCAGTACAGAACAACTATATAAAGCAGGACCGATTTGTGGTGGTGTTATATACGTACTTGCTGCATGTTTCAATTTTTTTTTTCTCCTCTCCCCTTCATTACTTCCAGGTTATCCAAGCTGCTGCTGCGTCTTCCTGCCCTCAGGCTGATAAGTGCAGCTGTCACTGAGGAGCTGTTTTTCGCTGGGCTCATTGGCAATGTGCAGATTGACAGCATCATCCCTTACATCCTCAAAATGGAGTCCACTGATTACAACAGCCAGGCAGCCTCCGGTGTGTGACACCCTGTGGCATTTGTAACAGCAACATCGGACTGTGAAAAATCTACAGCCAATCATGCGGAGAGCTCAGTAGACCGGTTACGGAAAGGTCATAACAAACTGTATTTATGACAAAGCATCCTATGTGGATTCTGTTTTCACTCTTACTTTGCTCCGACTTCTGACTCCTCAGTAACCAGTCAGTAGAGTTCAGCTCACAAAGAGGATAAATAAAAATCAACTCCACTGGCAATCAAGCCCGCCGGTACCTGCCCATTCAGGAATCAACCCTTAAAACCTGCATAGTAGATTGTGCTTTTTATTGTACATTGTATTTTATGCTTCATCGCCTTCAAGCCTTTCCTTTTTCTGCAGCTCGTTTGTACTTTGAAGGAATCAGTCTAGTTTGGTTTTCACCGCTTTCCTACATGGTCATGCTTTTTTATTTTATAGTAATCATGAGGAAAAAAAATGTCAAAATGTGAATTGATTTGTGAGATGTTATAAGTAAAGGGTATAACCTTTTATTTCTCATTTGTTTGCCAATCCAAAGGATGGGCAGCATCACTTGTCAAATATTTGAGATGGTATGGCTCTGGGTTACCAATGTATATATATTTGTATATAGAATGCACCAAGAAGGCTATAAAGGGCAGCACTTCGTAATTTGTGGATTCCATCTTTTTGGATAAAAAATAATGTGGACGGAAAATACTGATCATGTCATTTGGAAATAAAACATCTCTCAGTCATTATTGTATGTTTCTTCTGAACAAAGCTTTTAGTTTGACGCTCCGACAATTCTTCTCCAATGCTACGTTAAATTTACACAGAACTGTTCGGGAAAGTTGAACTGTTTATTTCAGCACACAAACAAAAACTTGGCACAAAATTATTACTCCTTATTCCCACAAATGCCAAAAGTACTATAAATGATTACATTATCCATATAGAATGAAATGAAATGAAAAATACTTTATTTATCCCAGAAGGGAAATTCAATATAGGTGCAAGAAATAAAAATATTAATGGATCACTAACAACTAACTGTACATACATCAGTCTTTACATAATGTAAATATTTTAAATCAATGCAAATTATTGAAAAATGATAAAATATGATGTGCTGGACAAATGCTCAGTCATGTTTGGACAAAAATGAGCAGAATAGACTTTCTGTGATGATGTATGTCATGGCTGCAAAAAAATCCTTTAAATTCAAAACAGTTGTAATTAATAATACAATGTTATTTAGCTGATGAATAACTAATCTACTTGTTTGTCACGGTCCCCTTAAGAGAGAAGTCACTATGTCGTGTTTGTTGTCCAGGTTCAAGTAACCTGCTCCCACCGAAACTGACTGAAAGTGTTGTGACCTCTGGAGTCGTGTAAACATAATTGTCTTCCTCCTCGTGCAGCGCAATCACCCATCTCCAAGAGTTTCCAGAGTTACCTGTACAACTTCACAGAGTGACACCAGCTTTTCAGCACATACATCGGTCTATGTTACTAAGCTTCAGGGTTTTACTCACTTTAATCATGCTTGTAGGAACCTGCGCTTCCTTCTATAAACACAGCAGATTGTTTACATGGTACTTCTGAATTAATAATGCAAAATCTGTATCCTCCTCAAGTGACTTATTGCTGCATTTCGTGTCAAGTGACGTGAAGGTGGAAGATGTTGCAGGGTGCTGTGCGAGGGACTAGACTTTCCGCGTGCGTTATTGGCTGATTAATGTTTCATTAGGGCTCTGCAGATATAAGCAAAGGGAGGAGAGCATCCATAAGCTCCCCTTTGCTGTAGTTACGCAGTGAATGTGTCCAGCTAATTAAAACCACTGATAGCAGCATTAAAACTTGATGAACAGATGAATGATATTGTCTGCTGCTGTTTTTAGACGTCCTTTGTCCGCCTGTATCCAGTAGCTTCTCTGAGTGATTCTCCGCCGCCCTATCACATCACTACATCACTAGATTCATCCTCCTCTGGCTGCAGAGGTTAATGCATATTAATGTATGTCGCATTCACTGCAGGGCCGGCATGGACAAAAGAGAAGTCTCTTATCATCCCTTTAAAAACTGCCAACGTAATTTAGAAGTACAAAATAATACAATACTGACCGTCTGGACCTGTACGGGGGGTCAGGGATTTGTGATGCAACATGGGCTTTTGTGTTTATGGTTAGATGGATTAGCTCATTCCAAGCTCAATGAATGTGAGTGAAAGGACCAGTTGGATTGCTGCCGTGGCCTCTTGGGTGTTTGGGTTTGACTGCTCGAGAGGGAGTTTGGCGAAGGTGTTGGTGACGCAGCTGGTTACATGATAAACACAAAGAATCTCTTACAGTAAGTTTAAAATCCTCTTACTGGAGCCTTTACTGCAATCTCTGGAGTTAAAAGAAGAACAAATGGCAGCAAATGGCATCTCAGCTGTGTCCTATGTTGCTCTAGGCTTATCAAACATACAATAAAACAAGAAACTGAATTTAAAATGTACCTCAGGTTTTTCAGCAATTACTTTCTACACTCTCTACAGTAAATGGGGAATTAAAAACTTTCCCTCCGACCAACATGCTATTCTGGTCATGCATATTCATAACTCTATTTTTACACAGTTTTCGATTAGCAGTACGTGCTGCACACTTTCTGTTCCTCATTTTAGCTGTTGCCCTGACCCCTTTAACTCATTCACATTTGTACTATTAAAGGTCATATTGGTACAGTTTTAAAATGGACACATCTTATTCAAGCAGAGTACTCTTTCAATCTTCATGGTTTTACTTACAGGTGGCACAGCTGTCTTCATGTGTGTTTTCTAAGGGTCGACTGATATCGCAAAAATGAAAATCCTAGTGTCAGAATTTACAACACAAACTCAAACACAAAACTTTGCTCAAACACCTTTGCTTATTCACATCTGATGAATGGAAAGCTTTTCACCATTCATCCTCCAGTGTTGATTGGTGATTACTTGCAGCGTACGATCAATCAGACCGTGCTGCAGGCGGGACATTAGTTGAGACCACAGAGTGACTACAAATACAGGTCTGCGTCAGAACCAAAGTTGCAAATTGTGAAATAAATGTTTTATCAGGAAGTGGTTAAAAAAAAAAGAAGATACCAATAACTGGAAAAAATGCTGAACATGAATAATAAGTGACGCAGAACTGATTGTGATGCAAAGAAATTTATTCAGGAAATGTACAGATTTGTAATACTCACTGTATACTTCTTGTCCTGTACAGTTCAGTGGGAAGTATTGCACTTTGAACACAGTGACAGATAGTTGTAGTCTGTCACCAAAGAGGTCGCACATACGGAATGTTTGGATTCTTGGTTTTCTGTGTATAGGTTAGTAGAGTGTAACCTTCAAGTTTTAAAATTAATTAGGCAGTTTGTTAGTGTATGTAATATTGTAGGCCCCTAACTTTAACATTTAAGTTAGTCAGGTTGATTTGTAATATGTATAATTTTGCTTAATCTTAACCTTCAGATATTACTGAGATAAATTCACGTAATAAATAACACCATAGAAAATAGTATATTCTTAATATTTGCTCTTGTTAAGTAAAGTCACAACACCAGTTTTACTTTTCTGCTAGAAATTTCTATGGCTGAATGTCTGTTGTTTTAAATGTTTGATATAAATAACAGTGGCTTAATTTGACTAGTCGCTCGGTTTGACATGCAGAAAATATGATCAACAATTTAAACACCATCCATTATTGTAGATTAAACTGCCTGGTAGTAAATGAATTACTTGGCCTGCTACATTGAAATGCTGCCCACATATTAATGCATCAGTAATCAGAAGCCAATAGCACGTTTACTTTGTTGCTTCAAATGCAATTACTGTGGAATGAGTGCAATGTAGTTAAATAATACACACAGTTGAAGCCAGAAGTTTACATACACTATATAAAAAAACATATAACTTTTTTTTTTCTCACTGTCTGACATTAAATCAGACTAAACATTTTAGGTCAGTTAGGATTACCAGAATTATTTCTACTTGCTAAATGAGAGAATTTTTTAGAGAATTTTTTTATTGCTTTTGTCAAAGTCAGAATTTTACATACACTAGGATTACTATGTCTTCAAAATATTTGGGAAAGTTCAGATGATGTCATGACTTTGGAAGCTTTTGATAGGTTAATTGTTATAGGTTTTATGTCTTTTTGTAGAGTGTATGTAAGTATCGGGTTTTCACTGTATATATTATTTAAATACGTGTGTGTGTATAACAAATTTATTAGACCACCTGTCTAAATTGTTAAGCACTATATATACATATATATATGTATAGACCATCCAGCATCATGAAGTGCTTCAATGCGCACTCAGCTCTCTACATTTTACCATTTTGAACAGGAATGAGGAATTTCAAACTGAATTTACCTTTTTATACCCAAATTTGAGCCACTGGGCTTCTCTGAGAAATCAAAAATGAATCAAGCATAACATTCAACCACTAAAACATTTTTTTTTGTTCAGGAATGCAAGTAAATAACTATAATTTGACATCTTAATCAAGAAATTATGATGTGCTTTACTATTTTTTTTCTTTTTTTTTTGTAAAACAGCAAATGTAAAAATTCATGGATAACAATAATAATTATATTTTAGCATTAAAAATATCATTAAAGAGCTTCTACATACTGGTTTATTAAACCATTTCAGAAACATAAAAAAACAATTTTGCTAATTACCAATGTTAACTTAGGACTACAGTGGCATAAATGTTACACTGGGTGATGGCCTAATACATTTGTTAAGCACTGTGTGTGTATATAAACACGTAATAAATGAAACAATGACAATATTTAGGAAGGTTCAAGCATGCTTTGTGATATAATTACAAAACTGCATTTCAGACACTCTTTTAATGTTAAACTCATTTATTATTACAACTAATGGTGTGTGTGTGTGTGTGTGTGTGTGTGTGTGTCTTGCGCAACTGGAACCACTGCAGTCACATTTCAGATGTTGTGTTTTGATCAGAGCCAGTGAGGCTGTTTTATCTGCCTCTGATAGGAACATGTGTTGAAAGAGTTAAGCCCTCCTCCCTCTGCGCTGAGAAATAGGCGGAGTTTGGGTTCACACATAGTTTTTGTATGTTGAAGGGAGCAGCCAGCAGAGTGTGTGCTTGCCGGAGAGAGAGAGAGAGAGAGAGAGAGAGTGTGTGTTTGTGTGTGTGTGTGTCTGTGTGTGTGTGAAAGAGGGAGAGAAAACGGGGCGAAACATGGATCCGAGTTCAGGCGTGAGTTGGAAACTAGTCCTGATAGCGGAGTGAAGAATCGGCAGCAGCTCCTCCTGAGTGGCCTCTCACCGGAGATTTATTATGCCCAGCGCAAACGTGTCCGTGAGAAGTTTGTCTGAAGTAGAGAAATACCTCAGCAGCCGGATGGTGAGTATCATGTGAGGCAGTTTTGCAGCATTGTTGTTTCACAAACGGCAGGTCCCGTACTGTACCAGCGCTGCATTGTTGTCTCTTGAACTGTGCGTCATGCGTGACCAACAGCTGCGCCGCGTAAAAGCTGCATGTTTCTCAACAAAGAGCTGCAAAGTAACCCGGGTTTGTGCGCTGGAACGAAGATAAGAGAAGGAGGGCATGTTTTCACGAGGATGTAGAAGTGGTGCAAAGGACTGTGACTGTAAACTCTGTGCGTCTCAGACAAAATCCTGCTGGAGACATAAAGGGTTTATCCACATGGGTGCTGAAATGAGTTCTCATTGTCGGTTAATCTGATGATTTTATTGTAATTCATTTTGCCTACGCAGTGTCAGATAATAGTGAAACACGCCCACCACAAGTTCCTAGAAAACAGTTCAAAACAGGGGCTGAACAGTTCTTCAAGATGTTATCCAAAATCATAATATTGAAATGCAGTGGGGGGGTTACAATTTGTTAATAAAGATAAGAGATACATTTATAGATACATCTTCAAATCATGTTCATCACGTGTGTGTATGCATCCTCAAAAACCTACAATCTACAAGAAACGTGTAGACACTACCTCACTAGTGTTTCAGCCCTAACTAAAATTATCATGCAAATTTTTAGTGTTGCACTGAACAGTAAAAATACCCCCATGCACTCCAGTCGTTCACCACGACTCTATAATGAATACTTGCTACCAGAGCTGCTGGTCTTTATCAGATGGGGTTTGATGGTGTTTTCCGATGCTGCAGGTTTTGTGGTCATGCTACATTACTTCTCAGCTGTTTCTAGTGTGACCAAACCAGGTTAACACAACAACGGCACACGCAGCCTCGGATTGCACCATGAACCTGTGTTTATTTCAAGAGCTGCTGTTCTGTATTTTATCTTACAGGTGTTTCTGTATTTGTGGTCATTTAGTGACTCAGCGGCTGACCCAGATTTTGTGAATTTCAACTCTTATCCGTCCCTTGCTGTTTATGACATATTCTGGTGGCTGCCATGTCGTATTTACTGCTGATTAAGAGAGGAAGGTCAACATTTATTGTTTTACTTACCTTTTGTCATTTAACACGACGTGGAGAAATGTCCTGATTATCAGCACACTTGATCTCATTTCATGTTTGCAATCCGTTTTTATTTCCACAGCCTCAAAATGACACATTTACCTCAAGAGAGCTTCACAATTTGTACAACGTGACTCACATTCTGTTCAGACACTTCAATTCTGAAAAAAGAAACTACACCAAAAACAACACCAAAAAACCCTTCATACAACACAAACAGTCTCTTGGTGGAACCATTGAAGCATCAGCCAATGAAAATGTAAAATAGCATCAGAAATCCCCGAATGTGTCAACCAGAGTATTTGTTTCAGGTCAGGTGCCCTTAGTGACACGGACAAGAAGAATGCAAGATACTTGTGAAACCAGAAAGTCAGTCAAGTGTCATCCAACAGGTAGTTTTTCCTGCTATGCATAAACAATAAGAGCTGCCTCTTTGTCATAGTGTCAGCTTGGGTCTGCCAGGTCTTATTTGGGCAGTGTATGAATGAATAAAATCAATAATCTTTCCCCTCATGCCGATCTTGAAGGAATTGTACTCAAATGATTTGACCCAGCTTCTCACGTAACCAGTTCGACCCTTGTGGTATAATCACCGAACGCAGTACAATGGAGCAACACATCTGACTGTTGGGCCGGTTTATTAGCACTGTGCTGCTTAGTTATGCTTTCCCTCATTCTGTTGGCCGCAAGTGGCATTCCGGTTTTGTTCCTCAAAAAGCCTTTGTGCAGCAGATATAGTAGGTTTAAGGTCAGACATGATGCAACACTTGAGTTTCTGTGGCCGATTTCCAGAAACTGCCTTTAACTCTTAGCGGCTGGGGGCTGCGTGCAGGTTTGTGTGGCATTTCACTCGCCCCTCCACTGGTGAAATCAGTGTCATCGGACAAAAGGCGGACATTATTCATCACATCAGTGTCATTTTTAATACACTCTATGACTCATTAAATGGCAGCTGTTTTTTTTAAAGATACAGCTATTGTGTTTCTAATGGCTCATGAGCCGTTTGAGTCCTCAGGAGCCCTGCTACGTCATCAGCTCTGTTCGCTCTCTGGCTTTGGATCAGTACATCCAATATAGCTGCATATTTACCTTAATTGAATCCCATTCAATACTCTCCCAGTCCGCGAGGGCAAGCAGACACTGGTTGTGTTAATGGGCTATTGATTTAGTCCTGGACTATGAGATAATAGTGAGTACGTCTTAAGCAACTCATTCCCCCGACCTCCTGGGGATTATTCATTCAGGAAACTTAAGACTTCAAACTCTATTGCTAGTTGTTTTTTTTCTTTCCACCCCTCTTTAACTCGGATGAGGCATATTGTTTGGCCTCTAAAGAAAGCAATCAAAGTTTGACCACATAGGCAGCTGTGGGATGCAGAGGAGGAGGAGGAGGAGGAGGAGGAGGAGGGGATGTTGGGTCAGCTTTCTGACTAAAATGAAAGATGTGCTCCTTGTCGCTCTCGCTCTCCCTGTCTCTGGTTTTCTTCCCGTTTCCCTGTGTGAGCCCTGAGTGGGAGACTGTCTGTATCCATGAGGATCAGCTGGAGGGAATACCAATAAGCACCGCAGGCTTCTTCCCCTCTGTGGTTCTGTTCTCTGCTGAAGGGACGGTTTTGTTCCATCTCCATGAGTGTGCCAGCTCTGTTGCCTTGTGTGTGTGTGTGTTGGTGTGTGTTTTATTGGGGCACCCAGAGGCAATGACAGAGAGCACTAAAGAAGTGCCACTTTATGTACCACACACACAAGACCTCATCATTTGGGTCCAGTTACTCCAGACCACTGCAGACACCTGTGCTCGTGTTTGCATGCGTCTGTGTTCCTGCATGGTCTGACACTGTGAGCTTATGGTTTCGCCAGATTACAGCTGCGATTGTGAGCACTCACACGCATTACTTCCTCGTGATGAAGACAGTGTGTTCCTGTTTTTCCACTTTTAATAATGCCCCCCTATACACACACCAACAGAGAGGGACAGCAGTTTAGCGAGGAAGAGATTCAGTTTCTGTATGTTCTGCTAATCTGAAGCAATATTTAATCTACTAATACCGCTTAGTATTTAAGAAACACTCGGCGCATCCCCACCCACTTCTAAATAATTTGTGAGCTTTCACCCCTATCTACTTCAGGATTTTAATGCTGAATTGCCACTCTGCCTTTTTCTTACGGTGCTGCAGCGGGCAGATAACCGTACGGTCTGCTTTTGCATGAAAAATTGAATCACTAACTAGATCATTGATCCAGGAGGGAGCACACTGCGGTGCAAGATAAGCAGCATCTGCAGTTCCTGTCGTCTCCCCCCCCTGACTTTCCTCCCAAAATGTAGCTGAGATCTGGGGAGAGCTCTCGAAGCATAACCAGACACAGAGCTGCTTTGTGGGGTTTGATTGAGGCTAATGCAGATGGATCTTTATGTTATGCTGTCTAGTGAGGTCAGGGCGTATTAAATGGGTCATGGTGTTGGACAGACGCTGTGTGCTATGTAGGGCAGCGTGGGGGACAGGGGGCTCATGCAGAGCAGAGGTGTGGGAGATGCATCCCGAGGGCACCGAGGACTCCCGCAAGATCCTGTTGGTAGAGATTGGGATGATGTGTTTTGGGAGCATCTTCGATTCATGTGCTCTTATCTTTCATATCTGCTTCAGTCGCTCTCTTACTCCCACTTTCCGTCGGCCTCTCTTCTTCTGCTCTACTGACACAGTAATATCAACGAGTGACTCAAGCAGCAGTGGGCGTACGCCTGGCATGTTAATTTCAAAGACAACATCTTGAGTACTTTAATGTGAGAAAGCGCCCAAAAAAAATCCCTCGTTTGTGGCAATATTTTAAGGACACGATCGGATAAATGCGTCTCACACAATCCCAAAGCATAACAGCCAATGAAAACACATGTACGAGTTCACGCTGTTGCTCTGGGACACCAAGAGCTCGAGATTGTATCGCCATCTCATCAAACTCTAACCTGGTTTCAGTCTGTAACCTTTCAGTTAAGGACGGTTCACGTAACTGTCTGACTTTAGTGCTTCGCTGCGGCAGCCTTTCCCCTAGTTACAGGGCTTTCACCACCCCCCTCATCATCACCGGCCATCGCCAAAGACCTTCAATCCTTGCCATCTTTTGCCCCTGCTACCTCAATAACCCCGGAGAGCGGCTGCATAAGTGTTGGGGAGAAATGGAGTGAAAAGTAGGGCAGCTCCTCAGCAGATTTGGAAGGACATTTTCATCAGCATGAGGCTACTTCATTTTAACATAGTCAGTCATCCAGAAAGACCCTCAGATTGCCCCTGTGGTTAGTCAGAGTGGGTAGAAATCTTGAACAGTGGCAGCAGTTGAAATAGGCTTCTTAAATGGAAATGGTGCAAATCTCTTATCAGGAAACTGTCAGAAGTTGCGTTCCATTGTATGTAAAACATCTGGGTTGTATTATTTGAGTTACATCTCATGAATCAGGCCCCATCCTGCCAAAAGCCATCTTGTTTTCATAACACAAAGTGTACGCCCTCGCTCCAGCTGTGTAATACAATTTCAGCTTGAGGTGCAGTATAAATATGGAAGTTGTATTGATACGCTTTCCAAACATCTTTTACTCCCGTCTGTTTTTACTTCAGACCTCAACCGTGATTCATCAATGCTTGCCAGGTGGCCATGTGATCTATTTTACACTCATCCCATATCTGTGTTATCGCAGCACCTCGAAGCAATAAACCTAGACCCTTGTATTCTGCGTTTGGCCCCTAATGCTACAGAGGAGAATATAGAACGTTTCAAAGTAAACGCCAGTGGTAGGAAAGCGCCCGAGGAGCTAGTTTAGTTCCAGCACTGCAGAAATAGCATGCACTCTGAGCTGCCTGCTTGAACAGGCAGTTCTTTGTGTTTGTCATTTGAAAACTAAAAAGGCCTGGTAATATGAGCAACCTACACACCAGCCTGCCTCACACTTATCGTGAAAACGGAGCGTGTTTGGCTTCTCCTCCTTCTATACGGCAAACAGGTTTGACAAAAGGGCAGCTTATTTGTGAACCTAACTGTTTGGACAAGAAGTATAGCGTGCGCTGTGGAAGGAGCAGGGCTGTGATTGGACGCTGGCTTCCTCAGGCTATACGTCAGGCCAGTGAATCCATATGCAGCAGCTCAGTCCTGAGACAGAGCAGAGGTAGGACATGACAAAGTGTGCTTTTTTCTCTGCAGAGAAAGAGTTCTGTGTTCAAGAAGGACAGATGCCAGAGAGAGTGAGAGAGTGGGATGAGGACAGAGGCTGAAATACCCCAGGCATGCTTGTAGAAATAAGCATGTCATTCTCTATTTACACAATATACATGAATAAGTATATATTATGTGTGTACAGTATAATTATAGACACACACAGATTAGTAAAACTACACATTCCCACATACATATACAAACAAGATTAGAGTATACAGCGCTGCTCGAAGCTTGTTGAGGCTGCACTTAGACACAGCAGTGCTTTAAGCTAAATAGTAATGCTGCCATGGCAACAGGCTCACATTGACCTACTAGCAGCTGATGTTCAGCAGGTGTAATGTTTACCGTGTTCACCATCTTAGTTTAGCATGTTGGTGTGCTAACGTTTGCTAATTGGCAGTGATTAACAGTGTAGAGTTAACAGTGGGTTAACAGCGTAGAGCCAGCGGGCATCTGGGTGAAAAATGCTCAACGAATCCAAAGTTGTTCATGTCATTGTGATGACAGAAACAGCCAGAATGATCTAATACCAGCAAGGCTATCTTCAATCTATGTTTATTTCAATCGATAACACTCATAAAACAATTTGTCTTGTTTTCTGGTTGATTTAATTTATTCTCTGATTGAATTTGTTTGTTTGATTGCTGAGAATTTATTATTGGAAGTTTCCATTGTGTTGTAAATGACTGTTTAAATTGAATTTATGTTTTTGCTGAGGTGGCATGATTCTTGTTTTGGCTTCCGAAGAGGAAGGGGAAGAAACTCTTATGAACTACTGCACTAAACACGTCATTACTTCTACAGTTATTTTGCAGCTTTTGGAAGAATGTCATCTTCGACCTGATGATGCCATTAAAATAAACGTGAAAGGGTCACAATTAGGATTTAATCCCTTTTCCAGACATGCACTTATTCCGTTGAAAGCATCTGAAGATGTTGGCTTTTTTTGTTTTTTAATGAAAATGCTATGACAGTCTTACTCAAACCCAGTAGAATTTCTTTACTATGTTCAAAGCAACGCAAGTCTGAACGTCATGCTGTCCCCTTAAACTGATATACATGCTCAAGCAGCGGCACTTTAAGTTGTTGGAGTGATGCAGAAAGGCTTTTTCCCCATTTCAACCATCAGTGGTCCAGCAAACTCCTTAAAACAGTTTGTGTGCCAAAGTTGCAAAACCTTTCTTGTTTATTTTGCTCTATAATTTCACATCTTTCAGCAGCAGGATCCACATCAGCGTCTCCAAAGCTGGAGTTACGTACATTTACACATGTGGAACAACAACAGTAACTTCATTAATTACTTATAAACTGTCCCTGACATGGAGACAGGATTGATCATGGTCTTACAGTAAATGTGTATATTTGTGCACATCGAACAGGTCTGATTATGATTATCATCACACAGAACTGTTTATTAGATCATGATTAATCTTTGCTATTAGTTATTTGGACAGTTTGATAAGTTGCTGTTAGTTTAGATTTAGTCTTTTAGTGCATTATTATTTATTACACATCACTTGACATACTGTCAAATCTTGCAGCGATGACAAAAAAATGTATTACATATGACCTGTCTGAAATGGGCTTTATTTTCTTGCCACTATGGATGTCCCTTCTGGATTATGATTAATACTAGTGGTTGTCTATTTTGCACCAAAGTTGGAAACTGACAGACTATCATTACTGTCCTTTAACTAGTGCTGCAAGCGTGGCTGAAAACAAGCATGAAACAGCTTCTGCATGCTTATTCTGGTGACATGTGCTCTTGTAATAAATGTCGATGTCAGAGATGATACACTAAGTTCCCTGCTCCAGGTATCGCCCTCACAAACGAGTTCGACTGGTTGACTGAGTGTGAGGTTATAGTGCCAACAGCAAGTAAATGGAATTTACATGTGTAATTTGATAACTTAAGCCCAACTGAATTAAGAGAGGAAGAGTCCTGCTGAATGTGTTTTTGTTTTTGTCTCAGAAACTGCTATATACTGTTCAGTGTTCGCACTGGTATACGTCTAGCCACAAACCATCCTATTAAGCATAAACCCACATGACAGTCATGTGTTGAGGAGCGTCACTATGTGCTGAACTCATGCATTTGACAAATGTGAAGGTACAATGTTGCAATGCTAAGCAGGATTGAACCCTAAGTCTGCCTGAGTGTAGCTGTGATCTGTTTGTTTGCTTGAAACTAGCTGTGTTACATTTGTTAAGGATTAGTGCAGCTTTGCACCGCCCGTAGTGCTTGTTGTACAACACTTTGTATTAGGCTTTATCAGCTTACACCTCCGATCATTACACCACTGTTGTACTGTGATCAACTTGCAAGATTCAGTGGCTTGTTTGGCCACTATTACAATGCAGCTTTACTACACTTGAAGTGACACTTCTGCTCTGATAATGCTGCTCACAAACCTAATTAAGGTTCTTGCTTCACTTCTTTTCCTCAGTTTCCTCTTTATGGAGCGTCTTCGGGTTTCCTGCCGCACTTAAACCTGCTTATTCGACCCGTCTATATGTTCTGTCTAACTTCCTCATATCTATAACAGAGAGCTCTTTTTCTATTGACACAGCAGCTAAAACACTGACTATAATGTCGAGGCTCGATGAGGAAGATGGTAATTAACTGTGAAAACTGAGGACATTGTCTGGAAAAGGGATTTTCTGAGTCTTGTGGCCTCGTGTGACATTATCACTGACCTACATTAGATTTGCATGCTCCACTTCTGTCACACACATTAATAGCCGTTATTTGAAATTTGTCATCTGTGTCGTCTGCGTTCTATAGTATAAACAAACAGGATTAAATTTTTGGCTCTTTAACCGAAGCAGATGCCAAATAAGAGCATTACAGATATACCCAGATGGTGTCACAGTGTCAGTAGCAGAACAAAGCACAAGGCTGAACTCACTGTGTAAAAAAATTGTATATACAGAAAATCAGACACAAATTTAAAAGACCATTGAATGAAAATAATACTGTTTTACAACCTTTGATTAATGTGCATCTACAACTGAGTTATAAAAATAACCCCATTGTCAAGTCAGTCATTTGAAACTGTTTGTTAAACCGTTCTAAGCACCAGTTGGTTTTCTTGGGTTGCTCACAATGCAGATGTTGGTGAAGTAGATCTTTTCTAGTAAGGACACACACATAGAAACATTTTAAGTGTACACTTTATTGGCGAATAAGATATTGTATCATATTCTCCATGAATGGAAGCCAAAACTAGAAAACAAGGCATGATTTACAAAGTAATAACATTACCATTTACACTCAACTTATCAATGCATGAAATTGGAATTGTACTTTTCTTGATGACTGATGAGACAAATTTCTGTCGTAAAAGATTCTTCCTTTTAATGCACCGTTTTTAACACAATATCTTCTCCTCCTTGTAGGACCGGAGCACTGAGGGCAGTTTTCTGAACATCCCTGTGTCGATGCGTCGGGGCTCTTCAGAAAACAACCTGGATTTGGACCTGAGCGATGGAGGTCCCGGTTCTGCTCTCAGCTGTGAGGTCCAGCGCAGTCGTTCTTGCTTGGACAACCTCCAGCAGAAGATTCTGAAAGTCACGGAGCAGCTGAAGATTGAGCAAACGGCACGAGACGAGAACGTAGCTGAGTACCTGAAGCTGGTGAACAGTGCGGACAAGCAGCAAGTGGGGCGCATCAAGCAGGTGTTTGAGAAGAAGAACCAGAAGTCGGCTCAAAACATCGCCCAGATGCAGAAGAAGCTGGAGCAGTACCATCGAAAGATGAAAGACAGTGAAATCCATCACAGCCCGTCTCCTCACCCGTCCACTGTCAAACACAGCACTATTCCCAGGGAGTCGCCCAGAGAGCTGCTGAGGGACATGACTGGCAGCGGCCGACACCCGACCATGGACAAAATCAAAACTATCGGACCAGGTGTCTCTCTCTCACCTCCATTCTTCTTCAGCAAACCCAGAGAGTTCGCCAACCTCATCAGGAACAAGTTTGGCAGCGCTGATAACATCGCCCACCTCAAGACCACTCTGGACACTTCCCCACCATTGCCCACCGACAGCACAGGGAAGGGGCTGAGTAGCAGCACCTCCATGGTGGGCAAGCCCAAGTACCCCAGTGATGATGAGTGCTCCTCAGGTAGCGCCTCTATTTCTGCAGACAGTAACGGGAACCCAGCAGGAGGAGCGTCTGCAGGGCAGGTCCAAGGTCCAAGCCCCGGCCAGGAGCAGCCGGCGGGGGGAGACAGCCAGAGTAGACTGGCCCTGAGCCTGGAGGAGGTGAGGGAGATCAAAGATGCCCAGAGTCAGCTGGAGGACGATATAGAAGAGTTAAAAACACAGTTCAAGAGAGAATACGACATTATCAGTCAGACACTGCAGGAGGAGAGATACAGGTATGTGTGGATTGCTTCATTTTTCATTGTCCTTACATAATACATCACCAATATCTAACATTTAGTCTATTGTCAGGGGGAGAACAGACATAACATTAAACATTTATCCCAACGGCACAAGTGATTCATCACCTTAGCATTTGCAGAAGCACTTCATAAATAGTACATTCAGATCTACCTGTAAATATGAATATTTAACTAATATTTCTGGATCCTCTTGTTTCGGCTGGCAGGTATGCGCGTTTGGAGGACCAGCTGAACGACCTGACAGAACTTCACCAGCACGAGATGGCAAATCTGAAGCAGGAGCTGGCCAGCATCGAGGAGAGGGTGGCCTACCAGGCTCACGAAAGGGCCAGGGACATACAGGTGTGTAATAGTAAACCTGTTGTGTGGTGTTGGCTTACATTTAAACTGCAGAACATGTAGCTTCCTGTTTCTCATTCACACCAGATCATACATATATACCATTCTATTAGATCAGTCTCTGAGGAAAAGCTCAATGCATTGTCCGAAAAGCTCGTGTCACATCCATTTATTGATCATTGTCACTGGTTGCCTGCATATAATTGTTCCCTTCAAGTCCGTTTTGTCGTTTGACTTTTATGGCCACAAACCCTCTCTGCCCTCACGAGTCCCTCTTGATACATGATTAATCTTTTAGCGAAATCTGCATAATTGAGCATTAGAAGGTCAGCAACATGCCCTTTAGCAGCTCGAGGAACATTCTGACCCATACAATCTCTCCTCGTCTCTCTCAGGAAGCCCTCGAGTCGTGTCAGACTCGCGTGTCCAAGCTGGAGCTCCAGCAGCAGCAACAACAGCAGACGGTCCAGCTCGAGAGCCGTGACGCCCGAGTCCTGCTGGGGAAGAGCATCAACATCATGCTGGCCATCATCACCGTCATCCTGGTGTGCGTGTCCACTGCCGCCAAGTTTGCCGCCCCGCTGATGAGGAGCCGGTATCACGTGGTAGCCACCTTCCTGGGGGTTTGTTTTTTGACCATATTCTGGAAGAACTGGGACCGTTTACAGTACGCCATAGACAGGCTGCTGGTGCCTGCCTAATAACGAAGAGAACACACTGAAAATACCATTAACATGGATGCTGTCAGTTGTCACGATAGGACTGTCTAAGAGGATTGGTTGTACAATCGTCAGAAGACACGATCGCCATGCATTTACAGAGGTCACTGTTTTTTAAATTCAGACTGAAATGAAATTTTGGTGATTTTTTTTTTCTCTTGTCTACAACTTGAATGTGTGTAACTAATAATTTCATATAACCTTTAAAATAATATTTATGTAACAGTAAATTTTGCTACTACCCCGGGGATTGCTATGAAATCGTCAGAAAAGGTTGATTCAAGGATTAAGAAGGGGTGAAGAAAAGTTCATTTGCAGCCACCTGGGGCTCACTGTTTTGGGAAAACAATTCATAGATGAGATAAAAACTAGAAAAAAAATAATCATTCTTTCTCATTTCCCAGAATATAGAACCTCTAAATGCACACACACAGAAACAAGACCTTAATCTTAGTTTTTTCTTTATGTGAAATACTAATGTCGCCCTTAAAGGAATACTTGGATATTTGGGGAAATTATTTGCTGTTTTGTTGATATAGAGGTAATCTCATATCTTTGTGGTAAATATGACGCTGCTACCAGGTTAGCTTAGCATAAAACTGCAATGTATTCTTTTGATGCTTGTAAGCAGATTTGGTTACATTTGAAAGGAGCCAGGCTAACAGTTTCGCTCCATTTCCGCTCTTTATTTTATGCTAAGCTAACAAGCTGCTGGTGTTATTAAAAACGAGTAAACATATTTTTCCCATTTATGGAAATATTCCTTTTTAAAGGAGATTTTACAAACTAAAGCAGAGGTACTGGGCATCCTGTTCATATGTGTTTACTTTCTTTATTCCTTATTGCCTCGTCTGCCCTGTGCGGTCAGTCATCTCTTAAGTTGCTCTGTTAACTGTTCTTGACGTTTAAAGTGCAATATATTTGATTTCAAGGAGCGCTGTTTTTAAAAAAAAAAAGTGATTCTTTTAGGAGCGAGTGTTTTACATCAATATTTGAGAGGAGTGACAGTGTGTCGGTGCTTGGAGGGCCGAGCTGAGGAAGTATCGTTAATGTTGGCATGAGAGATCCATAACCACCGAAGCCACTGCTGCGCTCTGATAAGACCAGCTGTCTCCTCTCTCAAGGGCCAAAAATCAATCCAACTGCATTAGTAGTGTGGTAATATCAACGCCAGCCAGCTCGCCAGTAACGGCACTGACACACTCAACAAAAAAAATAAAAACAGAGTCTGTCACTTGGTTCTCTGTATATAAATATCTTCTGGGTTTTGCCCAGTTTTATGTTGATCTTTTACTAATAATGTGATTGAGAGGCGATGGGTTATACTGTGATACAAGGCCTTTTTATGAGGAAAAATGCAATTCTCTCTTTTTTTTCTTTCTTTTTTTTAAAGGAGCAACAAACAGCCTTCAGCACTCCATCATGACAAAGGTGCACATTTACATTTTTTCTTGTTTTGGACTGACCACTTTCTTGTTAGTCTTACGAACATTGATTACGAGGATTTCACATGAAGCAACGGACCACTTTCAATGTTTGTCTACCATAATAACATGTTTGTGACTATGTTTTTCTGTTTTACTTACTGTTTCATATTTTTTTGTTGTTCTTATTTGAGGAAGTTTTACATGCAGAACTACGATCTGGTTTACATTCTCTTTTCATCTCCGGTGCACTATGTGATCAATCAGTTGTGTTTTCATGCATTACGTGCCTTTGTCTGACAATTTCTGTTAAATTAAACAAACCTTTTTAATCAACTGTTGCTTGCAATTTGTGTTTCGTATTTGTCACATTTGACAGGGGATTTCTTTTTCTTTTCTATAAATATTCAAGCACTGGGAGGTTTAAGTAGCATGGACGGCTATCAGAAAATAAGAAATTGCTTCACTATGTGCCACGGGTGTAAAAAAAAAAGGAAGCCAATGAAAAGTTGGAAATTTGCTAACTCACTCAAACTTCCTGGAAGTAACCTATTTATATTCACAGAATTTACTGAGTATACTCTTCATGAATAAAACTGCTGATTTTTTTTTTTTTTTTTTGCATTAATATTCTTTATTTTCCTCTGGGACATTTGCACCAGTAGAGTAAATGTTGAAAAAAAAATTGAATAAGCATGCAGTTTATAATAAGTTACACTTTATTAATATGAATAGCAGTGTTTTTTCAGCACTGAATATGATCTCCTTCACCACCACTAGGGGGTAGAGGTGCTGCACTAATGATCTGGCGAGGATCAAGAAAGGAAGAATGCAGAATCTTACACCAATGGGACCAATGGGATTTATACATGTTTTTTTCCTAAATAATTCATTTCTGTTTGGCCAAAATCAATGCCACCGCTTCACACATATGTTAAAACTGCACTGACTCTGTAACAGTAATGTCTCTGTGGAAGAGTGGTGCCCTCTGCTGTTGCTGAACATCCAACTATATCTTTCATACAAGTCCACTGTGCACGTGTACGGCTCTGTTGCGGCATGTTTCTATATATTTTGCTATCATTAAATCTAGGTCATTCTGTTCCACACTGAGAACAGGAATCTACAGACAGATCTGATCTGAAATGTGTGACGTGGTTTCCATTATGTGGGTTTTTGCACGCAAGAAACTGATGATCAGAGATGCTTATAATTGAGGTGAAATTCCCCTAATAAAAAAGTACAGTTCCAACAACATCAGACAGCCAAAACAGTAAATAATGAATGCATCATCTAGCTTCAATACACTTTGCCAACATTTTGTTGATTTTTAAAGCAAAAAGAAGGAAAAAAAAAAAACCCTACGACTGCAGACTCCTCAAACCCTGTGCTAACACTCAGAATCTTAGAATGAAGAAAATTGATCCCCACAAATCAGAGGAAGGCAATGAAGAGATAAGAAAGCGCTTCCAGCATTCAGTTTCCCCTGTCTGACACGTCATTAAGAAATCGTGGAAATCAATAGAAATCTTGACTTGAAAGACCAATAAAACTTTGAGATAAGCACCTGTTAGCCAGAAATGCAAGCACCAACGAAGCTGCAGGAAGGTTTAGCAGCTTAAATGCACAAACAGCATCTTCATCAGAAGGAACCTCTGAAGGAACCTCATGCAACCTTATCACAAAGCTCCCCACGTGAAAGCTGCAAAGCCACATGTGGATAAGTTAGACTCATTTTTGAATGTAATAGAGGGAACAGACAAAGTTAAAAACTGAACTCTTTGGATAATTTGATGAAAAGAAAAACTTTCCAGCTGTTAATCGTTGGGGGAAAAAAAATTCCGCTTTTGGGTTGGTGACAGTTAGTGGCACAGGAAACACAGCGCAGATAGAGGGAAGGGTGGATTTAGCTAAATACCGGGAAATTCTGGAAGTAAATGTCGTGCAGTCATTCAAGAAATGGAAACTGAAAAGAGGCTTTAACATCCAAAGCAGACATTAAAATCCACCGTGAGCCAGTTCAACCAACACAGGCTGAAGTTTTATCAGTGGCTTTCACAGTCCCCTCATCTTAGGACCTACCATGCATCTGAGACAGAACACAAATGTCTCAGAACTTGAAGTGATCTGCAGAAAACAAGAGGGCAAAATTTCCTAAATCAGAAAAAACTCTCAATGTAGCTGCTACAAAAAGGAATTTCAATCTATGTTAATAAAACGAACAGTAACAGTGAATCCCCATTTGAATAATAGTTTATTTTTTTAACGTATATTTTCTCCTGGGGTTGTGTTTCCTTCTTTTTACGTCAGGAATCAACAAAAATTGGAATTTGCCCAAAGGCGCCCAAACTTTTACGTACACAAAATGAACCCTGTGCTCGGTTAAACTCAGCAGCAGCAGCACTGTAAGATGGTGCACCTGGCACAGCAGTGTGCATGTTTCAGTCTGTGTCATTAGCGGCTGCCTGCATGCCAAACAGAGGTACAGAGATACGGGAACAGAAACCTGGATGATAGACACATAGCTTAACTGGGGCTCTCTGGCACTCACACAGTGTTCCCATACTTTATGAGAGCTTAAGTTGAGGAGTGAAATAGTGAGTTGTGTGCACATACGTCTGTGTGTGTGTGTGTGCGTGTGTGTGTGTGTAGGAGGGCTGGCTGCGTTTCATGCATTTGTGGAGCAACTAAGGTCCCTGGGGAAGAAGAAATACGATTGGTGTGACGCAGAACCTAACACACACACACACACACATACACAGCCACCAACACACGCAGGCTTAAAAAACAGGGATTATGAGCTATATTTGTAGGTGTGAATGGAGAGCAATATTTTCTTTCCCAATCTCTCTCTCCTCTTTATTATGTGGTTCTAAAAAGTGAGCGCTTCCCTTTGATGTGAGCTCCCATCCTGTGCGTTTTCCATTGTGCGGTCCCTTGTGGCTCCTGGAGCTCGCTGGCCTATTCACTGGGCTCCATAATGAGCTGCTAATTATCCCAGGACCTCATCAAGTGTCTTTGGGCCCGCAGCTAAGCCTCCTCCTCGCACAGGTTGGCATGGTGACCGTAGGGGACGGGACCTGGAGGAGGCCACCAAAAGGACTGCCGCAGCTTCACTCCTGCTCCGCTGAGGGGGAGTGAGAAGGAGGCTTTTTTTTTTTTCCCTCTTTCTCTCTCCCATGAAGACAAAGGAGAGAGTGGGACGTGTGTGTAGATAGAATTAGCTATACATAATGCTGGTTTTTATTCTGTGAATATTTTTTGCTCCGTGTGTGTGTTTCTAAATATGTATCGAGTGTGTTTTTGTGTGTTACTCATGCATGAACTCAAATTATGGGAAAGTTCTGACCTCTCCGGCAACTTCCACACTGATTTACTGGACCCTTCCCTTTTCCTGTTTATGGTGTCATGGAAACAGGCCATGCGCCCTTCCTCTGCTTTTGCGCTATAACGTGAAAATATACCCTGCATCCAGCCGCAGCCTCATACCTCAGCCGGCAGCAGATCTGCAGCTCTGTGACGCTGCAGTGTCTGTGACCAGATTTAGAACCTCCAATGATGAATACGTGGAAATAGCCAGTGGAAAACTCCAGATTTATGGACACATTTATCATCAAGGTCTTCATATAAATCACCTCTTAAAATGCCCTAATTCAAAGGCACCTCCAATTTCCTTTAGTTGCTAAGCAACCGTGGAGCGCCACAGCGATGCTCGGAGTTAAAGGCTGGCAGCCCAGTGGTGTAAAGTGGATTGTGGGGTGAATCACTGTCTTTTATAGCTCTGAGGTTCCATTACATGGCCAGCTGACAATGACAATGATACACTGTCACTGCAGAGTAATTATACAGCCTGTTGATCCCTCTGGTGCCTCCGCAAGCAAATGGAGTCAGCTGAATGGTTGTAGTGTTTTTTTTTTTCTTTTCTAATTGACCAGAGCCACTGAAAAAGCACTTTTAGCAATATAATGAATTTCTGAGAGATTTAACAATCTGTGGCACGTTTGCTAAAATGCTGAAAATGTAGTTTGTGGAGGAGTGGTTGCTTATTTGATAATACTTTCATTTTCCCACAGATGTCTATGAATGGATATAAAGTCCAATTAAGATCTGCAATCCACAAGTGATGTCTGCTATTGGTCTGTGTGAATTTGTAGTTTTATTTCAGGACTTTTTCCCCCTACTCACACATATGTGCTTATATGGGCCTTTTTCATGCCTGTTCCTATTTTCTCTGCAAAATCCAAATCCTTACTAAAAGCAAACTGCAGACAACATAATACAGCTTTCTGTAGCATTTCAGAGGTTTGAAAAAGCCAGGGGATCTTAGACGTCGTCCTCTGGATGCCACAAATATTCTGTTGCACTTTATCCAAGAGTTACAGAGTAATTTCCTTAAAAATCAGAAATGTTAGCGTTTAATGATGCTCAAGAAAAAAATCCCACTGAAGCCAATGTGATTCATCCTCAGGAGACCCTGCATATCACTAAAAAATTTCTTGGCAATCGCTTGAATTATTCCAGAGATATTTCAGTCTGGACTAAGCTGGTGGACCAACTGACAGATTGACATCTGACCTCCCTACAGTCGGGCTGTAAATGTGGCTGAAACCATCAGATAATTCATGAATTCCTCACATTCATGATGCACATTTTTGTGTAAATCCTTTTCCCACACTCTGATTCAAACAATCTTTCCACTCAAGATTCACACAAATGACGAATGCTGAACGTAAAACCACAAATATGCAGACGTGTGTCACAAATGTGACGAAATAAGGAACTGTTGGGCCTTTTGTGTGTTCTGCATGTGTGTGTTCATTTGTGTCGCATGTCAATTTGCAGGCTCACATTCCTGCGGTCTGTACTGTAGCTGAAGGCGCCATGCGTATGACTATGTCAAATCTGGACAAAACAAAGGCGGCAGTATGAGCAGATTGGAGAGATTCCCTTCATATGACCTCACACTCTGTGGGACTGATCTCTGCTGCAGAAAAAAACAGCCCGTCTCTAATGCGCTCCCGCTGCGGCGCGACCACACCTTGGTGAAATATCAGATGTCGTAGTTTAATTTCCCTTTTTGTTGTTATTTTAGGTAAAGCTATGAAGTGGGTGTCAGTTCCCATAAAGGAACGTTTGAGTGATCGTCAGTGCAGCTTCCAGCAGCGTTTAACAGTCCACTTACTGTAGTTTGGCAAACAGCTTTGCAGCTGAGCAGTTGTCTTGAGCCAGTTGCGTGCCATCCATCTGGTTCAGCAGGCACTTTAAAACAAACACAGAGGATTATTTTGACTTTGGTTCGATAGTATCTGCATTCCTCCTCTGCCCGTTCTGCTCTG